ACATAGTAGGGGGTAGAGTGAAGACCAATGATGGGGAACTGGTCACGATGGCGCCATACCGCTTACAGATCCCCGGTTGTGTTCCGGGTTGACATTTAATCTTGGATATTCGACAAGCCTCACAGGCATAATTTATCTTGTTAGGCTTAGGTTGAGACCGCGCTTGCGGTATGCTTGACTGGTCCATGGTATGGCCAGGGTTGTTGGTTGTAGTCAGGTTAGGTAAAATATCTGTATAAGAGGCGAGATAGGTGAGTATAAAGATTACCAGACTAGATGCTGTAAATATTGGTAAAGGGCTACGAATTATATCAGCACTTCTAAATATAAAAGATGTTATTGCTGAGTTAATTAGGGTGTGTAGTTTTTATGACTAGGAATAAGGAGAGTAATAATGAGCAGATTAAAATATGACTATAAAGATGATTCAGACTGGATGAACTGTGCCGTGATAGATGGGAACAGATTTCGTAAGCATTTAAATCGTCGTCGGTGTAAAAGACAAACCCCGTGCTTTAGGTACCTAAATATGCATTGGAGATTAGTGGATCAACCCGGGGAGTCGCTTTTCCCGAATATGCATAAATGCCCATCGGACCACTAAACTCTCACGTGCTAGTTCTCGTTTGGTATCTGAATTCTTCGCGTAAGCAGCGAATCCTATATTTTTCTCACTCATTATTCGTCTTTATATGCGCATGATTATAAATCCCCAACCATAGGTACTTAAGCTAGTTACCTGATATTATTATTGATCTTATAACTACCTATCGGATATATCTCGGATATATATCGGATGCATCTTACGTGCAGGTCGAAAGGTAAAAATTGAAGTATAAACTTACAACGGTTCGTTACGATCTTGTCTTGTCTATCTGGAGGTTCCATGGCACACAGCCCAGATAGGTTTCATACACTCATAATACATACATGAAGGTATACTTATACATAAGCATACCTTGGTACCTTGTCTATCTCACCTTCTAGCCCTTCTTTTTCTTACATCATAATCATATCGTAAATAACTCTTATATCATATCATATGAGATGCATCGGGTAAGGCCTGCCCTATAATGACGCACTACCGGATACCGCCAGATATATCCCAACGGCAATCCCAGCGACAACCATTAACAGGGCTGCCGAAGCCGCACCTACAATCGTCATCGTGATCTTCTTTCTCCTTTTCTGCGGCTTGGTTTGCCAGTGTCGCGCCCACCAACCTGTCCCTCCGGCCTCTACGTCCCCGCGCCGCTTTCTTCTTTCGCGCTCCGACTCAGGGCTATGAGGAGTTCGGCCTTGTTCATAATCCGCTAGATTATACGCCAACGGCGTCGTTGAGTCTACTCGGGTGCTTGGTACGCTGATGTTACTTAAACGTTCCGGGGTACATAGACCAGGTGAGTACGGAGGCGGTAGCGATGACCTTGGTGGTGGTGGTGTGAGGGTTACGTCTGGATCTATTACCGACTCCCGGAATCCCTGGGAGTCGATGGTAAAGTTTGTGAGCCGCCGGGGTGGCGTCCTAGGATCATTTGTTGGATATGCCGGACTTATTTCAGGCGACTCTGAGAGAGGGCTCTTAACCTTTGCATAAGCAGGCACCTGGACATTTTCAAGGCCACTCGCAAGACCGATGAGGCTAGCTAGCCTTTTTTGTGTTGGTGTGGGAGGTAGAGGTGTAGAGGGAGGCGGCGATGGCGGAGAAAACCATGAATTTATAGAAGAATGCGAACGTGATGTGCATGGTGGTGGCGGTGAGTCCGGTATTGATGAATGAGCGGTAGTCGGCGGAGTAGCACTGCTTGGTGGTAGCGGGAAGAGGGATGGTGAAAGTGAGACAACGCTACATCGAGATGAGAGTGAAACATCTGAGCATGGTGATACAGGCTCGCCTTTGTTATACTGAAAATCGACACTCAGGGCATGAGGCTGGAGGACGAAATTACCATTCGATGAGTTGGCATCGAAATCCTCAACAATGGTAGTGGGTACGATCAGTTTCGGCAGCGCCAATAACTCGGGACTCCTCCGCTTTCCTTGTGTGGCTTCGTGGTCCAGCATTGTGTGTAATGAATATTCTGCAGTCGCTCCCCAAGACCGCTTAAGGATTGTGCATTCGCTGGTTTCAAGTTTATGAAACCCACCGATCTTGTCAAGATGGCTCCAGGTCGAGTCGGTAATGAGTGATGATAATCCGGGGTAGGCGATGGGCTGACGAGTATGGTAGGTAATAAGGAATGTTCTCGGCAATTGGCTTGGATCAGGTAAAGCGAATGATGGATCCGAGGCGTACTTTATTCAAAAGGAAGGACAGATAATATGATCATATTCAAACCATTATCATCATCATAATCATAAATATCAAAAAGGAACGTAGTGGGCTGGGAAGATGGCTAGGCGAGTGTAGAATTTATTTGCTCATATTGTTCGATTGTCTTACTCTTGCTCTTTTTTTTTTCGAACCCCCTTCAGCTCTCAGAAGAAATCCCAGAGGTCCGGGAGAGAAGTACAGATATAAAAACAATGAATATTTTTGAGTACTGATGGGTCAAGCCCGAAAGACCCGCATCTCGGGCATGCAAGACACAGGGGGATGAGAAAATGTCCAAGAGGGAACAGTGTGTGGTATCTTCGGGCAGAATCCTCCCATCCTTTGGTGTACCTACTTACATACATACTCCTCCCTCTCACATCATCAATACTACGCACAGTACAGTAAGGACAGTAAAGGAACCCGAAAGACAATAGGAAAAAAGGGTATAAAAAAAGCATTAAGCCATGCGGTCATTAGCAGCACAGCAGCAAACCCCCGCGCAGACCGGCACTTGTCGATCCCTCAGCACAGGCTATACATAAACTTGCCCAGCCCACGCGGACCAACGCCCTGCCCCTGCATCAGCCCAAGTCCATCAATTATGTACCTACCTACGGCATACAGCAAAGATAAATCAATCACAACGCTAGAAAAGGCCCCATAAAGCCCCATAAAGCCCCATATCCCTCCCAAACATCCGGGCCGTCGAGGCCACACCGCATCTCTTCAGCCCTCTCTTCTACCTCTGCATTTTTCTCCATCTCCTCCCCCCCTTCCATCTTCACACCGACAGACGCCATCCGATTGGGTCTCTTAAGCCTCGTAAGCAGCCCTAGCTGCGTTTTCCCTACGGGCCTACGGGGGTCTGCACAGCCTACAAATAGGATATGCTATATTATATTATAATATGTATAAATCCATATAATATACGTTACGTGCGTGCTGTATGTTTAAGACCCGCTGCCTCGCGAATAGGTACATATACATATGCACTGTATCATCATCATCATCATCATCATCACGATTGTACCTTACATATATATAACCAGCCCATCCCCATCCACACGGGCCATCAATTGCAACTCCAGAGGTTCCCCGTATGTATGATCCCCTCGTTCCTAGTCTAGACTTGCATAGGTATGCTATGTAGGTACCTAGGTATGTATGTATAACCCACCATCTTATCAGCTCTAAGCCAAAATCAATATAGCGCTCCAGCCCCAACCTCCGCGAATCGCCGTTGCGGTCACGGCAGATACGGGGCCGTACCTGCATATATACGGGTACCGTCTAGCCTAGCAAGCCCTAAACCTGCACTCGCGCCTTGGAAACTTGAAAGCATTGAAGAAGATACCTGTATGTAGATATATACCTACCTATATTGTAACCGCACTACATACATACACACTAACCATGCGACGCCAAGGTCTGAACTACCGCCGCATCTTACATGGTACACTACGCTACATATAGACAAGTGGGTTGGTTAGATGCCATAGTCAAACTGCATCACCGCTTGCGCGAATAACGGCAAAAAATAAATAAAAAATATCACGAATATTGAAATAGGGACTAGGGTTGCAATAAGGCTGTTATAGTTTTCTTTTCTTTACACATTTATTAGGCATAGTTCCTTTTACTTACCGACCCTAAAACAATAAAGAAAAAAAGTTCCCGTAGGATCGGAACTGCTTGTATCGTAACTAGTACACTGTATGGATTTCCAGATCCAAGCGATCGTGTCCTGCAATCCTCGTATCTGAAAGCCTGTGGACCAACCTCCACAACACTTGCGCGGCATTAGCTAATATACGTTGGGGAATTACGAATGATTTAATGTTCGCACAGTATATAGACGCGTTGCGCGTACTTCGCTTTTACTGTATCAACCATGTAGATACACTAAACTTCAATATTCCCACTCTGCTTCCGACGTTCCAACAAGATAAGTAACAATGAGGCGGGGTCGGAATTATCGAACCATGCCATCAGGCAACCTCTTTTCAAAAAGTGGTTTCAAAAATTTATGTAGTTAGAATACGATTCTATTAAACATTGACTCGAAAGATTGCTCGAGCTATCTACGAGTTCTCCCCTATTTACGCCGGCGCTAAACCATCTTCTCTACACATGCAATTGCTTTCCCCGTGCCGCTCATGCGTGAAAATCGATACGAATATTTTGTACACGAAGAACAAAGCCCTTAGGGTTGTCTTCAACTTAGAAAATAGAACAGTCATACGTTTAATGCTCGTAACCTCTTTGGGCCCGCGGCGCATTATAAGTCAGCTCGCCCCTGTTATTCGCACAGCGGGTAGCTTGGTATCGTTACTCGACCGGCTCAAATAGCATTCGAAACGTAGGCGCGTAAGCTTCGTCGGTCAAAACACATTAATTATTGCGACCTCCGATTCGTCCTTTACCTATATCAACGAATAAGTTCACGAAATCAATCGTGTTTCCTCCGCCAAGAGTTATATTCAATCCTTGCTCCATCATCACGCAAGAAGACGTGTTTCGGCCGGCGTCTACGTCAGTGAAAAAGCTCTGGACTGAGGACTGAGCAGTTACTGCATCGGACAATGTTTTTTCTTGGAAGATATAAAGCATAGCCACCCGCGCAAAGTCGACAACCTCCTCTGTAACAGTAAAAGTTGAACTTGGCATGGGGGCCGAGCTTGTACTACTTGGGGTAGTAGTAGTCGAGGCGGGTGCTGTTGTCGGGACTGTCGTAGGGTATGGCGTAGGTGAAGATCGCTTGGAATTGCTAGGTGTTATAGTAGTGGCGAATAGAGTAGATCCAGAAATTGTAGTCGGGTTAGTTAGAGTAGTCACCACGAAGCTCCCAGTAAACGCGCCAGTCCCCGCCGGATTTTCAACTGTCAATGTAATATCAACGTCCGGGAAAACACTGAGAGTAATGGAGACATCCTCGGCAGCTACAGCAGCCTGCGCGAGATCAGGACTCAAACTAACGTCAGAGACCTCGGCCGAGCCCTCTTGTGTTCGCAGAGATTGCCCGTTAAAAGTTACCAGCGCATTTTCCGTGTTGCAGGATAGACTTTCTTTGTTGAATTTTGACTGTATCAATGTGGCGACTAGAGGAATCGAGAAATTACTCTGTGCATCTCTGATAAGGCGAGGAACTGCCTGGCCAATAGTGACGTTATTAATGTCGGAGCCTCCCATGCTGATTGATGTTGTAGTGCAGCCTTGAGAAGTAGGAACTGTGCAGTTCGCCCCAGTGAAACCGTTGGAACAGATACATGAACAGACACCCTGCACAACCACGTTTGTGCCCCCATTAGCACAATTTAGCTGCGCCTCGCAGTCTGAAATGGCTGGTTGCGCTACACTTTTTTCGGCTGCCTTGTCAAGAACGAGAAATTTGACAGGAACAACAACTGCAGCGGCTATGATGCATAGTAACATGATGGCCAATGCAAAGAGAGTCCATATAGGCAACCCGCAGCAACGGCGCCCCTTCCTCTGCGGTTCCGGTTCAGGATCGAACCCCGGTTCAGTTGCTGCCGGTGGGCCGCGGAACGACATCCGACCCAACGGCCAAGCAACGGAGAGTCTACTCTTTCGTACTCCACTTCGAGTTGCTGGTGGCGGAAATGCCGCCAGCATGTCAGACAGTCCAGACTGATGCTTATTGTTATTATCTGCCAAGTCAATTAGTACATTAAATAAGTAAAGATGGTAGCGGGACGAACAATAAAAGTCCTTCTCAGGATCACTGCCATATGTATCCTCGGGAAAGTCGAGATCGTCAAAACGGCTCCCTGGTCTACGGCCTCTATCCATCAGCGATGCTAGCCTCGTCGCCCGTCGAATCAGATCCGGCAAGCTCGTCAAGCTCCCCCTAGCCTCGGCTGCTCTTACTGCATCTATATCAAGACGTGGTGGACGTCGAATTGCGGAAAGTCTATTATATGGTCTCGGCGATGGAACAGCATTCCGTATCGATGAAGGGTCTGTGGCGCTAGCGCCTTCAAAAGCATTCAGCATGTTATCCGCAGTCACACCATTACTGACGGCCTCTCTGGAAATATTTCCTGACGAGCTTGACGAGGCCTCGATATATCCAGTGCCGTCTCGAAACGGTCCGCCCTGAATCGGCGTCGGTCCAGGTCTCGGCATCGAATCCCTCTTTTCAAAGCTTCCTGTGGTTATCAGAGCCGGCTTTCCCCTCTTTCCAATGCTCGCACTCCTAACTAGGCTACTTTCATCCGCGTCGTCGCTAATAAAAGACTCCTCCGCTATCGTATCGTTAATGGAAACCGCGCCCGGGCTGTATCCTGGCGAGAAACTCTCGAAGGTTTCCGGTATCGCTGCGCTAGACGCATAAGAAGTACGAGATCGCGTTCTCGGGCTTTCTTCTGGTATCGGTGAAACGTACGAAATAGTTGAATAAAACGACGAAGCTCCTCTCCTTGAAGATGGCGGCGGACCTAGATTTGCACTCCTTCTTGTCGGAGTTAGCGAATCTGCAGCCACCGGTAATGGAAAATCGGGAATCGTTCCGACTGAAGAGTTAGTCGACAGTCTCAATGAATCGCTTTGTGTTGTCTCGGGTGCGGACAGCTCCGATGCTCTAGCATTTTGAGGCGTGTACTGGAAGATAGGCGTGTGCTCCTGAATACGAGAACTGTCTAAAATCGACGGCACTCTGCTAGGACGTGGAGGGCGTTGGGGTGGTTGCGATCTGCCAGGTGGCGGTCGGTATGGCTCTGAATCACTAGGTGACGGTGCTGCGACGGGCCCGGCAAGCGGCCACTGGGCCAGCGGTGTCGGTCCCGATATCGCCATTCCTATCCGCCCTTGTTCATCCCTAAGTTGTAGTCCCGCAGGTACCTGAGGTCGTCTTATGGATGGAGGTTCTGGAAATGCTGCTATATTTCCCCTTGCCCCGCTCGCTTCGGCCAACTCTCTCGCTCTAGCCATCTCCCTTGCTCTTTTAACAGACCCCCCCATAGCCGGTGGTTGGCCATTATATCGCCCATTTTGAGATTGACTCATTTAAACGAACAGTCTGGGCAGCGTAAAACCCAGATCAAATCTCCACATACCACTTTCCAATCCTTCACGGCTTTTGCCGGCTATATGAACCGCATACACAAGTCCCAGCTCCTAACTCTACGAGTTTAAATCGATACAATGCCAGTACCCGATGACCCGCCGGCAGGTGGATCAGAGGAATCAAACGGAAACAAGATCGGAAACTACTGGCCTCGTGTTCGTCCTAATAGCGCGGGAAATGACTTCGACGTAAATAAACCAAAGGTATCGCAAACAGAAATTCGCCCGGCTCGGTAAACGGTCGTGGAACCAAGTCGTCGTCTTCGCTATATCCAGAATAACGGCCGGTAAGCGACTAAGTACGAACCCGATCCCAACCCCGACCAAGACAAATAGTAAGAATAGAAGCTGCTGCGGTACTAGGCAGGCGGAAAATCGCAGTTAAAAAGTAACCCAGTCACTTTAAATCGTCAGGATTGTTAATGTAAGCTAAATTTCGGTCAGTCTCTAAGCTGAAGGTAAAAATGAACATAATTATGATAAGTGTACATCAGGATTCGTAAAACAGTCAGGATGGAAATGGCAATTGAACTTGAGGTTTGACCCTAACTCCAGAGCCAAGGGCATCATAAGATCCAGCCAGATGCCGTTCAAAATCCGGACTCGGCGCGACCAGTTCTACTGGTCGCAGCAACATTAACCGGCGAGGGATATCCAGCCAGGGTAGTTAAAAAAGAATATAGCACCAAGTAGGAGATCACGTACACTTGACGTTTCGACAGGTACTAGCCTTTCCTCTTATCAACCCAAATCGGCCAGGGTTCGTTCGATAATGAGTGACTAGTACCAGACTGGGAGGCAACACCCAAGATTGATAATACTCAAACGAAGGAAAGCCCGTGGGTGTTTCCGATGTCTTCCAACAAGGCCAAGACTCGGACACGATCGGAAGACGAAATATTTGCCGACGAGCTGGGGAATACTGCAAAGAAGCTACCGAAGTCGTCGCACAACGTTGCTCCTGATTAGGTGAGAGTGGGGTGGTAGAGAGATCCAGATGATGTGACCTTCAAGTCTTGGATACCGTTCGCGTTTCAGGACCACGGACGGCACAGGGTTAGGGTGACAGAAAGCCAACCGAAAGCTCAAGGCAAGCTGATCTTACAAATCTGAACAGTAATTAAGTTGTAAGGCGACGGTAAGGTCGATGATTTTGAAAAACGAAAGACGCGCGGGCAAACCAAGTGTCTTCAAGACGGGATGGGATGTCCTGCGGAGAGAACGATATATAAGAAGAAAAAAGAAGAAGAAAACGAGAGTAGAGAATTAGAAATAGTAAAAGAAAGAGTGTCAAACAGACAATTACAATAAGTACGGCGCTGTGAGACCAGACGACACTTGGTCGTGAGTTGTGATATTCGTTGAAGGTGGCTGAACAAAGATTCAAAAGTAGATGGAGTTTCCAGTCAACCAGTCAAGGCAGACAGAAAATGTGATTGAACAAGCAATCCCAAGTTGCACAAGACAGAAAGAAGAAACTCGAAAAGAAAGAACAAACTCCAACGAGAGACAGAAAGAGAGAACAGAACGGAAGTGACTGTCAATCGCGACTCCCCCGTTCTGTCCGTTTAGGTTCGTCTAATCGAGATACCTTGCTTAATGTCCGGGTAGTGCCTGGCATTAGTTCATGTCGTCTATGCAAAATTATGGAGAAAAGGGGGTCGGGCTTGACTGAAAAAGCTTCACGATGGCACCAGAGGCTCCAGAAAAGTCGGTGCATCGCATCTTTAACGAGACTTCGGACCCACGGACAAGCATGGAAACCCCAGTAATAACCGCCGAATCTAAAAACCTCATTCTAAACCCCTACCAACAGCGATTCACATACGAATATTATCCTAGTAGTCGCCTAGGTATTCAAAAGGCAAATAAACAGATGCATAACTCATTTACATAGCGTATATACACGTGGGACCCCCAAATTTAAGGGATTATAAAAATTACTCTTCAACGGCGCTTGTCATGGAAATAGTTGACGTAACATCGGTCAGCGAATTCGACGACGGCTACATTCCTGAAGCGGTTGGCATTTATCCAGAGAGCATAATTCGTAGGAAGATTCAAACGATTAATGGATAGATGACCCCTGAACCCCTGTACGCGAGTCTAAGATCCTTGCTTTCAAGCTAAGATCTCGAACCAATCAGCAAACCACTAGGGGAAGCTTCACCAATCAGAAACACTAGTGTCGTTACTTGCAGACAATTCAACGTCCGTCATCCCGGTCTAAGTCGTTTTGATCGTTCTATTGGGTACGTACTGTAAAGTCCCGCGCGCAACTTTGTCGAGTCGGAATCTCACAAGGCAAAATAGAGCGAGAGAGATTATATATACAATCAACCATTTAAACATAAATAGAAAGACGTCACGAATCTATATAAGAGGGTGGCGCACGTAATACAGTTAAATAAAGAGCGGCTGACCAGTAAGACTCCTACGTACGATATAAGTTTGTCGCACGTAGCTCTCTTTTCGTCTCAAACAAAGTACCTGAACAGACACATTCCGTCGTACGAACCATCCGTCTGGGTTGGCAAGCAAATTATCAACTACATAGACTCGGAACCCCGCAAGAGTATGCAATGGTTAAGCCAAACAAGTGAGTGCATAATGAACGTTGAACCATACCCAGGTGGTCATAGGGGGCCATATGCCAAGTATCATTTCCCTTAACGGGAAAAAATATATAGTGATACAGATCGACCGGAAATTTTAGCCTTTCCCACGTTGTGTGGCGCGATGAGACAGCGCTTTATTGAGTGTTGCCCAAGAATCCTCAGAGTCCCGGTGTAGGTAAATAGGATCTATGTAATAGTAATCTTCTATGCAGTTCGAAAGGTGATGCACCACCTACATATGTAATGTGTATGTATTGGCGATCCAACGCACTGAGAATCCACTTACTGGTAATTCGCCCATTGGCCGATAATCCCTCTTTAGGCGCGCTTGAGTCAACCAGCCATTCTACCATTCAACATGGAAGAAATGCTCTATAATATTCAATTGTGATTAGACATAAACATTCTAATGAAAACCTGTGGCTAACACGACGAAAAAGCATGATGATATGTATAATGATCCTTGTAGAATCCTTTCGGTGAATCTCAGATAATTGGCGGCGGGCTTGCATCATACGTCAGTTCTGCCGTCGTTCCTGCAAACCAGCCATCTTGCAGAGGGGGAGGTCCCGAGACGCTGGAGTGCAAACGATAGGCTTGGAATCGATGCTAGTCTCGGACAGTTTCAGATCGTTGAATCAATTCAATTAGTGGCCCCACTCTTGGCCGAGCATCGAGACACCGAGACGGAACACGCCTAAACTAGAAGGTACTTCGGTACAAGAACTAAACTCAGAGATATTTACCCAGCCTTATGAAAATAAAACTTCGGACACGGCTTGAATATGCGCTTGTCTCAAATTACTCCAGGTAAGGAGCAATCAAAATTAATATAGCAATCAAGTCAGTTTGCTTTTGCTAAATAATTGTGACGGGCCCTAATCAAACTCGTGTTTCCAAGCATTTACTACACTTTCAAATTTATTAAGGAAGCGGCACTTATAGACTTAATTATTTATTATCCCTCGGTGTAAAATATAGCAATGGCATTAAAGGGTATAATTAATATCAATATATAATACTAAGGGCCTTGCTTGCCTTAGAAGCGACAAGCAATCATCTCATAGTAACACGTTAATAAGGAGGGGCTATTCATATTTTCATCTACACTAAAACAATTGATTGACTGTTTGGCTTCAACTAGTTAGTTATAGTTTAGTTCTTCCTAAAGATAATGGCCTCGGTACTTTCGAGGTCTTTAAAAACATTCTGAAGTCATTAAGGTTTAATATCAAAGTAGGGAACATATCCAGTCAGCATAATATATAAATGCAAGTAGCATCAGAATGCCTAAGTTAACACTGGGTACTCGTCGACAGCACACTTTGAGTAGCTGTAGCGAAATACCAAAGAGTATATATAACATGTACATCGTAAATAGTAAACTGAATAGTCGACCTAAGCGCCTATTATGTTACTAAGATTTCTGCTTCTTCTCCTTTTTGGCCGCCCTTTTAGCCTCCTTCTCGGCCCGCGCCGCTTCCCACTCATCCAAATTTTGAATCAGAAGCCAATCGAGAGATTTAGCCCTACCACGTTCTAACCAGCAATCCTTGAGCTTCTTACCCTTCATATGCCTCTTCCAAGCCCGCTTTCTGCTCCTTTTGGCCTGCTTCTCAGCTTTCGCGATCTTATGCTTGACTTCCCACGCAGCCATTCTAGCAAGCACGGTCGTCTGCCCGTTTGGGGGAGGAAGGTTATCAAAGGACAGCTCGCACGCCCACCTGGACATGTACTTAATGCATCTTTCCTGACTGCTTAAATTGAGAGTTTCTTCGGTAAGGGGATCCAATAAGGTCTCTTTCTTGTCGAGGTTAAACATCTTCATTATCCGCTTGGGGCTGATGATCTTCATGTGTAATTTACGAGGATGGAAGTATTTCTCGTTCATGATGCCGAAATACTTCTTGCAGCGCTTATAATTTACGATAGCCATTCCAATACTCGCTGCCAGTTCCAACGCAGCAGCGATTCCATCAGTTCCGTCGTAAGGAATGAACCCAACAGCAAAGGCTGTGACCAGAGCCGCGCGACCGGCTATATGAGGCCTAATGAGGACATTAAGATTGTCGATAAATGCTAATAAATCTTCTGGGATGACAGCGTGGTTTGCCAATTCTAGCGCCCACGCACGTGCAAATGGGATGTGAAGCCCTGGTTCAACACGAGGGATTAAGACTGGCTTTGGTAGTGGCGGTAACTCTGCGTCGTGAGGGATAGGGGGAAAACATGATGTTGCTATATCCAGTATCTGAGTCTCAGTGACTTCTATACGAGGATTGTGTGGTCCGTCAAGGGACTCCTGGGTATTTACCCATTCGGGAGATGCGAATTCTTCATTCTTGGTAACAGCAGTCCTGTATGAAGGTGGGCGTGGTATATTAGTTCCTAATTCCGGGTTTGGGGATTTATCGCCGTCCTTATGAGTGGACGGGTCCGACTTTTCGGCGTTTGACCTCATAGATCGCCGGGTCTTCTTCACCAAAGTAACCACAATATCCCCCAATAGTTCTTTAGATGACATGGTTAAATATGATAAAAACCGACAAGCTAAGAGGGCCGAGTTCTACTCGTGTAATTGATAGTTTAATTATATTTAAAAATAAATCATAGAAAAAGGCTTATATCTTGCATTTGAAGATTAGAGAAGTCTTCTTGGCATTTTGAGCTGAATTGACAGAATAGGTAGGTATTTAATATTAACAACCTCAAACGAACATTAGCCCTTAGCTTGTGTATAGAATGTTTATAAAATATCGCTTAGAAATTAGAAAAGCAGAGACGGTGATACCATTATATAGGGCGATTGAAGATCAATTCTAGTATTCTGTTGATAAATTAACTACGTATTTTAGCGCAAAATCCTGAGTTGAAATGCACCTAAGCTACGTCAAATGACAACTAATAGCGAGGCTGCGTCGTTGGTAGATACGCCGTATCTGCACAAGAATGTATAAGGGTTAGGGGATTGCACCTTTGCATCTTTACCCTTATGGATTCATAGAATGGTGATAGATAGGAAAGTACCCAAGTACTTGGTGGGTATAGAAACGGCAGTCATGTGACCTTACGTAATGGGTATCCGGCACGTTCGGGTTACGCAAGTACATTCTAGAAAGGTAATTGGATAAATAGAAGACAGTGTTTATTCGATACGTTTACTGTCAAATCTGTCCACTACTGCCAAGTGAATACAGCTGGAAAGCCCCTGACTAACAATCGTCACACAGCTGATAAGGTGTGACGCAGCTCGTCATCTAAGTCCGTAGGGTCCGGTTCTCTCAAGTCTTCAACCTTACAAACTGATACAATCAAACACGCCACCAACCAAACCTTTCCTTTCTTCTCTTCATCAAAACAACAACACATTCCTATTTCTTTTCATTTATCCTGCGCTTCTATGAAGCATTAAACCTATTCGTCCGCTGTTATCATAACACCAAAGATGCAGTTGACATCAATCATTACCGCAGCTGGCCTGGCGGCCTTATCAAACGCCTTCCTTCTCCCTCCTGACATCTCCGAATCTGACAAAGACATGATCACTACCCTTCCAGTTCCCCTTCCAGTCCCCATTAGAGTCGATGCTGCTATCGTAGCCGTCGAATCCCAAAACTTGAAGCTCAAGTGTCCCGGCTGTCCTGTCCACATCCCTCACCATGGGAAGGTGAAGATCGTGAACGATATCCCGAGCCATTTGGAGCTGGACTTTGGCATCGTGCCTTCCGACAATGCCGATCGCTTGATGTTGAACGGCTTCGAGCTTTTTCCTAACCCAGACCCCCTTCGAAATACCCTTGCCGCTACCGTTCGTCCCGATGTCTTACATCGACAAATGAAGAAGCGGCCTCATTTTAAGGGCCCCAAGCCTCAGACTCTAGGCTTTGGCATGCAGACTCGACCTGTTGCCAAGAATGAGGAAGATGCGTTAGAGCTCATCGAGATCAATCTTGACATCATCGAAGTTGGCGATGTCTTTGTCGATGGTATTCCAAATATCCAGGTCAATGTTGTCAAGACTCCTACCGGCAAGTTGATGCTTGGCGAAATTAAAACCATCGAATCTGAGACGGCGCAAAGCAATCCTATGGATAAGCAAGAGGAGTGCACCACTCTACTTTGCAAGTGGAAGGCTGTTATTATGCAGAAGCTTGCCGGCCTTCGTTTCCACAAAGGATGTGGTGGTCGCCCTGCTAACGTTAAGGGCCATGACGAAGTCAAGGGTAATGATGAAGGCAAGGTAGAGGAACCTCAAGAACCCAACCATGGTCATCGCCACAAGAACTGGAAATTGTTGTTTAGGAATATCGCTTCCCACATCCTGCTGCCTGTTGCTGTTGGTATCTTTGCTGGTATTACTGCTTGCATGTAAGTTTTCTCTATCAATGATAAATAGTAAGAATGCATACTAATCAAATTACAGTCTCGGCATGATTGCTGGTACAATCGCCGTCTTCATCTGGCGTGCGATTGCCCGCCGTGGCCACTCCCACCGACACCATCGCCACAGCCATCGCCACAAGGCCGCTCATACCGAAGCTGTTGCCAACGAAGAGAAGTCAGGCCTGATGGCTAATCAAGAAGAAATCGATGCTCCACCCGCCTACATCGAGGAGGGTATTATCGTCATTGACGATAAGAAGACTGAGAATGTAGTCTAAGAAAGTGATACCCTGACCGTTTTGACGGCAAATCCTAACTGACTCTTAGCGGATATTAACACTAAGACTTCGAAGCGAGGACTGATGGACAGATTTGTAGCGCCTATCCGGATTGAGGTAGGTGGATATGGCTGGCGTTGAATGATGCTTGTACAAGGACAAGGAAATATTGTACTAGGAAATGGCAAATGGCTGGTATTGGTGGATTATGTATTCTGATTACATTGGTGGAATCTCTCTCCTTTCGTCCTTTTTCCTTTCTTGTTGTATTGTGTACTTCGGCAAGCAGAATACCCACGTTCCTTTCAATTTACATCTGTAGGGAGTATCCGTACTCAATATGGTATCATTATCATAACCTAGAGACTGCCTAACGTCGTAGCAAATTAACAGTGCCTCTTTCCAGTGACGGATAGTAATAAAACAATGTAATAACTCGCAACTTTCCCCCTTACTATGAAATAAAGGGAATCTAATACTAAACCGTATGGTACTGTAGACTAAAGTTATCTGAGAATCTTATACACTTCCCCCTTTCCCACAGTGCCGTATATTTTACAAGTCCCGGTATCGAAATCTTTCAGGGAGATAGGGGAAACATTATTTCAGTGTTCAACCTTCTATCTGTAGTAAAAAAAGTAAAAATGGGATAAGTTTAGTAACGTTTACGGTAGAGTGACAAAATCAGGTACAAATAAGAACAGACACTCGGGTCCCAACACATAGAACCCAAAGTTACTTCCAGCTTAAAATTCCAAGATATACTAAGTGATCAGCTTGATAACTCTGGTAAATAAGTAAAAAACAAACGAAGATAGAGCTTGATGTGATGAGGTTCTTGTATTTTGAGGATGGCTTATAACTAGGTTAAGGTGTTAAGTACCTAATGTTCAACTTTAGCTGTTAGCGGCCATCGAGTCCCCCATATTATGTGTGATGCGAGGCTTTATATATCCATTAACCACCCAACAGCCTTTTCTTTTCTTTTCTTCTCGTCAGCACCCCTTTGTACTGTTCATCGATATAAGGTTCAAAACTCATGTCACATCACACCCTTATATATGGAATTTATCATGCTTATGTGAGTATGACTGTACTTAGTCTTGATTTTCTTTTACTTTTTCTAGACTCAGCTACTATCCAAAGTTCATTACAGTCACTGTTATGAGTCAGACTTATGAGAAACAACAAGAGAGTGAATTAACTAAAAGTGAAAGGCGAAGTTTTTTCCTATTTACTTTCCTCCTATCCTATGCTGTGAAGCTTGAGCTCTACTCCTTACAAACACTGCCTATAGATCATCCCTTACAGCTACAGTCTTCGCATAATGCCTTTTTTGGAAGCTGCTAAAGAACTACACGCTGCCCGCATAGTTGATAAACTTAGGCCAACGGGGTCGGGGTCGGAGCAGGGAGGCAAGTAGCGCACTCGCCGCATTGCCCGTGTAGCACTACCTCCTTTGTACACGAGGGGAGGATGCTGGTCGTGATGGTAGATAGAGAGGGAGCGGTAGGCTCGCCGAAGCTACAGGTCCTAGTTGGTGAGAGACACACAGGGTGGCAGACTCCGACAGGAGGAACCGTGGTTGTAATGGTTGTGACACTGGTGCATACTATGTGACCCGGTAGTGTAGTTGGCTCGGCGGGAGCAGCATTGGCGCTATAAGTAGATGACGTGTGGTTAGTTTTAGGAAACGAGAAGGTAGTGTCGTTGATGTTAGTGTGGAGTGGCTTACCCGTTAAGCAAGGCAGCGCCAGCAAGGGCAATATGGACAATGAACTGCATTATGAGTTGCTTGGGTGGATAGGTATAATTGGATAAGTGGAGTCTGGGGTCAAGGTAATGATGCCGGTAGTTATCCGAAAGCTTGGCTTGCGTTGCTTGTGTTGTATTGCATCTTTTCCTTCTGTTGATGAGGTGCTGGGCTTTATATATTTTCTTGGCAGGTCCCTTTTCAGTCGACGGATACTAATCAGGGTCTATTTTGGAACTACCTAGGGGAATCGAGCCATCGTAATGGGACCGTGGCTTGCTTTTCCCTATGGAACGAATAGCGGTCTAGATGTGATTCCCGCGACATCCCCGGTGGGCTTATGGTGTAAATTACGAAGGATTAGCCCCTGAAAGCCAACGAATTATCGACCTGGGCTTCCTAGATGATATCGAATAGTTTGGTGTGTAACACGACGGATTAGCTGAGATTAGAATCCTTCCCTCATTGTAAGTAAGAAAGAAGGAAGGGAAAAAAAAAAGGCTTAGGCTATTCGTATCAATAATGAACATAGTAATTGCCGGCGTGATATCAGAAATCTGATCGTGACAGAAACGGTTGTCGGCTCAGGAGTACTTAATCGGATATGGGCACGGGCGTCGGTTCCGAGACATAAGACGAGGCGGTTCAGCTCGGATTTACAACCAATCAATTAGGACGCTCTCATAGGCTAAAATATTAAACTAATTCGCGATCACTCAGCCCTATGGCTTGGAGTGTGAAAATCTGAGTGGTCGCGTGGAATTGTATCGATCTACTATCTTGGCACCCGATACAGCCCATCGAGGTTACATGATGCGAGGTTACCGTGCTATATAATATAAGCTGATATCTGGGGTATCACAAGGTAAACAAGTTGGTTGGTGATGAAGTAGTACTTGGCTTCATTCGATGATTTACGGTCTTATCTCGACATGATATCGTGTGAACATCAAAATTGTCTGGCTAGATGACCGATAATACTAACGTAATATCTGATTTATGTTATGACATTTATAGAAAGACCCGTGGTATTCTTGTACAAGAACTCGGAGGAGTGTCTCCGAAATCCAGGAATGAATTAGCGAATAGTTAGTTATATCCCGAGGCCTGCAGTACAGTACCTCCTTTGCTATCTTTCAAGCGGGGATATGTCGGCTCCCCGAGCTGATAATAGCTTAGCGAGTTTACCGGTCTACCGTGGTCCCGCTATTGCTCGACTTAATATAGATATAAGGTATATATAGACAAATAGTCGGTCACTCTTAGAGTTGTACGCGTAATCGCTGCGATGGAATAAGCCTATAGTTATAAGGTTGTCTTTAGTGTAATAAGGCTTTATTTAATAGATTTAAGGGATATTTCTAGCGGTGGGCAAGGAACATTAAGAATTGATCGTAACCTTGCCCGAAGTCAGCCAAAGTCAGTATATAGAATCCGGCATGTTTGTAAGTGTAAATGTTGATGTCGGTTGATATGTAATTGTTTGTTATATTTTATGTAACTAAGACTTTAAGGTTTATACGGTGGACTATTAGTCCAACTGTGCCAAAATCAAGAAAATGGGTGGGAGCTGTCCAAAAAGGGTAATTTAATAAGCAACGCTAGGTGCACAGTATCCCGAAATACCTGAAATATAAGATTTTATTATTTTATTAATTTTATTACCATATAACGGACTTCGTCTTGGACAATATACTTAAATAACTTTATAAATATTACATTTTTAGTTCTATGATTGGTATCATTTTATAGATTGAATTGATGCGAAAATAATGATCCTACTTGCATGCTTATAAGATACGTATTGAATAATTTATCCGTTGTTGAAATATTTACCTTAGATATTTATAAGTGGTGGTCTTGAAGGGTATTACGTGTTAGTCTCTTTACATACATAGCACCTATTTGATATTGATATTATACTCCAGCTTTAAGACATATAAAGATGCAAGCTGGATTATTATTTTCGCATTAATTGAAGCTATAAGATGATTTTAATTATGACTTTTAAAATAGTCTATTTGCGAAGTTATTGCAGTGTATAAGTTGTATCCTGTATATTTACGTATTTGTATATATTTAAGGTTAAAGTAAAGATTAAATTTGATTGGTTACTGTCTCTAGTTCATGAGCTAGTTTGTGGGGAAAGGGAAGGTAGCCCGTAATGTATTTAATAATGCTTATGATTATATAGCCTTTTTAATATATTTACGAATTCAAGGTCGAATTATATAAAACCTGGGTTAAAATTTTTGTCTTTTTGTAATGAATATATTAATACCCTTTCTAAATAATTTGGACTGATATTTGTAACGTTATACTTATATAAAAGGTATGTATAACCTTATAAATTGTGTATATAGTAGAAATAGCCGAATTTATACTGTAATCTTAATGTTACTATTACCTTATTTGATATAGTGCGACTGACTTTTTTGATTTTGGCACAGTTGGTCTAATAGTCCACCGTAGTTTATGTGAGTTTACGTAATCTACCTACGGGCCGATTAAGCTATGATGTCATCTTCCAACTCCTTTCAGACCTACTTGTTCTTCTGAATACATCACTCAACCATCAGCATCCATTGGCTAGGGTATACTTCCATCTTCCCGAGAGCACAACTATCATAATCATTACCCATCACTTCTTTCTCTAGATTTATTTCCATGTCGTCAACATAGTTACTCAGCTCGTCCCGGTAGCCCAGACAGTGCGGTGCGCAGCCTCGCGAGGGTGACCAGTGCCAATCCCACTCAAGGAAGATGAACAACCGTTGTAGACCCCCGTCGCGTAATGCTTTCAATGGCTTTAGAAAAACTTTGTGCACTTTCAATACTAAGATCGGCATCCGGTAACAGTCGTCCAAATAATGATGGAATAGGCTGCGATTATCTACAGCTCGGACGTAGCAATCGGTAGGACCAAACCATAGTCTCATATGTATGATGAGCGTTATGGCATTTAAGTTAGCATGGGCGCGCAGATTGTCTATCGCAAAGTGCCAATCAGCACATATCGGGTCAGTTGGCTTTGGGTAGAAGAAGTCGCCAACGCTAAATGCAGGAAATACGAGCTCGATACTACGCAGATGTGAGAGTATTTCTGGCCGCACGTGCCTAGTGAAGAATCTCGAGACATCCAACCTTTTTGTCAGGTCTTGGGATCCAATATTAGAATAGAAAATGTCCGGATCCGACATGATAATAACGCGGTTGCAAGAATACAGAATCTCGATAGCATATGCGTACATGCTTTGACTAACTAGCATTATGGCTTTTGGCGGAATCCAACATTGGCAACTAGACGAATAGCTACTATGACGGGCGGAGCAAAAATATCCGGTAGCGTCGACGTGGGAAGGATTGCAGGTCCAGAACTGCCACGCATGAGAATAAGATGCTGTTAAGTGGCTTTCATCTGCCTCATTACAGCAATGCGTCCAGGTCCCAAGGCGTATCACGTGGAAGCCAATCTTGGGGCTCCATTGAACCTCGTTACAAGGGGTAACAAGATCAGTATGCTTGAGAATCCTGAGGCGAAGTTCTGGCGGAAGTTTCATGAATTGGAATGGTTTCTTTCGTAAATCGGGATCCACCCCCTTTGCTCGTAATGCTGTTTCCTGGGCTACCGTATATAGCGAACTATCTCTTAACGGATGGAGACGGATCCAACAGTCTGCAAGTATATTTAAATTATTGTTGAGCGGTTGTAGGACAAGTTGTGTCTTCTCGTCGCTACCTGTATCGCAAATGAGGTGTAGCTTTAGAGTCTGTGGTTTGGCATAGGTTAGTATATGATTCGCGGCTGTCTGCCATGTGCTGATACATCTTCGCTTAAGAGTAAGCGGGGATGTGATATTAAGATGCGTGCTCCATGAATCATTAACATATAAGTGAACATATAAGTTCTATAGCTCGGAACATATCCGAGGAGATAATCGGCTCAGGTAGTAGAGGCCATAGTCAACAGCTTCACAGTCTACTATGATGCGATTCTCTGTACATAGGGTGAATTTGACTTCGTCGTGAATAGTCTGGCAGGTCTGAAGGATATTATAGATGAAGTGGTACTCCTCGGACCATATCTTTGGGGGTCTTCGGCAGAGAACAATGTCACCTCCAACTATGAGACCAGCTTCTTCATATACCTGACGTCGTACAGAAAGAGGCAGATGGAGAAAACTCTTGGTGTGTTTACATGAGAGATTGAAATTCTCACAAATCCGTTTCTGACGCATATTGTGACCGATGGGGTTATTCTAACTGGGACTGGCTGTCGGGGGTTTCGCGTTGTGTTGATGGCGTTCATCGATACTAGTGGATTACATAATAAAATTATATTAACTAAAATAGGTTAGGTTAGGTACACTATACGAAAACGAACGAAGTGTCCCAGTCGGCCTTAATTTCGTTAATATAATATTATGTACACGGTCGTACCCGTCTTAATAGCAAGGGTTATTAGGTATGTACATAACATCCCTGGACTTATTAGCCTAAATATTCACGTGAGTCTTCGCTTCTAGAAACATTCTCTGTAGCTTATTGCTAGCGCTAGCATTTTATAGCTATTGCAAGTGTTAAACGCGCAATATTCCCAAAGTCAATTAAACAACAATTTAATGATGCACTGTTCGCATCTGCACTTATACGATAATATACGAAGTACAACATGATATTAATATGTAAATACGGACTCCGTCAGCCATAATGAAGTGCACCTCTCCCCAATGTCAGACGTTTAAGATTTTGGATAGCTCGTACAAGTCGGTTCACCATTCAATTTGATGAATGCTTAATGGGTCCATGTCGAATTGCGAGGCTATCCTAGTCTGGCACTATACTACACGCGGTATGGTATATTCTAGTTTCATAGGATGTCTCGTATAACAAAATAATAGGGTCACGCTACACTAGGAGGTAGTTATGTCTTTTCCTCATTGGAATTTCCCCGCTTCTACATACAATCTTATTATTCCGTACTTCGTACATAGGTGATAGTAAGCTGCAAGAAAGGTCGAAAAGGACCTAGACCGTTGGACTATTCGGCGTTATCATGCCTGACCTCCCTCGGCTGCGGCTACAATGATAGTAATAAAAGGGAACCCAAATGGACAACTACCTGGGGTAGCTCAAATCCTATTACGACATATAACAGTAGTGTTATTACGCTAATGTCGACGGTAGCGGCCGAGACGACAGATCCGAAAAGGCCGGTCTAACAAATTCTCAAATTTCAAATCCTAAAGCCAGTTTTAAAGAAGCTGGACCGGAAACAAATATGTCACTGTAAGAGATAGCCTACATTATGACATTATGTAGTACTTTCACACTTTTAAAAGGCAGGCTCTTAAATTTTTTCATTGTTCTTACCTTAATACTACCTCTCGTGGTAAGAGTAGAAGGATCGAACGATCAAGGACCCCTATCATTGGTGCCGTTGGAGAAATACGCGGGGCATTCCTCGTATTACAGCACTATTACAAGCACTACTGATGTACCTACAATACTCAAATAAGTACCTAGGTACCATGATATTTAGCTGGTATGCGCGCGTGTTTTTAGGAATGCGACTTCCTCAAGTGCAGGGAATGGAATTACACTATTGCACTCTTAGGTACCTTCATACATTAAGTAGATACAGTAGTACTTTCGGATGAGGTCGTTGTCTCTCCTCCATCTATTCTATCGACATCATTCTTTGTCATCACCATTCCTCGTTCCATATTGCTGATGTTGGATTTTTTCGACTCCCACAATTCACAAAACACCACACCACACCACACTTACACAAACACAAATACAATACACCCGGTGTTGCCGTACTACATCGATCCTGTCGGTTGGGAATTGCATTTGCAATGTCATAACCCAGTAAAATCTGACCCTTTTTTAATTCCATGTTCATATTTGTGTTCAACTAGACTTCCCCTATTTGCTCCGTTTTAGTTGGACTTCAACTCGTCGTCATGTGGTTGTGGCACTTGCGGCGGAATGCCGTATTATCGGTAGCCTCGGTCTTAATGGTTACCAACCTCGTCGCTACATATGAACTAGATGTTGAATCACCAGGTATGTGATAAGCTCACTACTTACTCATGTTTACCTAGCTTCTTACGAAACGAAACTTTTAGATTCCATCAAGGATACAGCCAAAAAGATGGCAGAGGACTTGGTATCTTTCTATCACGGTAACGAACCCGGACAAACCCCCGGTCTTCTACCACAACCGTATTACTGTGAGTTTGATGTAGCTCTTTAGGTTCTATTCATTACTAATTCATGGCATCAGGGTGGGAAGGAGGCGCTTTCATGGGCGCGTTAATTGATTATTGGTATTACACTGGGGACACCACTTATAACGACATCGCTCAGCAAGGTCTACTTCATCAGGTCGGCCCGTATAATGACTATATGCCTCCTAACCAGACACTTACCGAGGGTAACGATGACCAAGGATTTTGGGGGATGGCTGTCATGACCGCGGCTGAGTACAAATTCCAGGACCCGCCGTCAGATCAGCCGGGATGGTTAGCACTGGCTCAGGCTGTTTTCAACACTCAAGCTGCTCGATGGGATCCGGAGGACTGTAATGGCGGTTTGCGATGGCAGATCTTTACGTGGAATACCGGCTTTGACTACAAGAATTCTATCTCGCAGGCATGTTTCTTCAACATCGCCGCACGATTAGCGCTCTACACCGGCAACACTACCTATGCCGACTGGGCTGTCAGGACGTGGGATTGGATGGTCAACGTCAAATTCATTGACGATAATTATAGGGTCTACGATGGAGCGCATATCGGTGATAACTGTACTACTATCATACCGTATGAGTTTTCGTACAACGTTGGTGCATTCCTTCTAGGATCAGCCGCCATGGTCGCATATACAAACAATTCGAACCAACAGGGCGATGTTGAGATGTGGCGCGAACGTGTAGATGGTCTATTAAACAGCACAGAGGAGATATTCTTTTTCGGAAACGACACGTCGGATCGAGTTATGATCGAGATTGCTTGCGAGCCAGTTGGTTTATGTGATACGGATCAGCAATCATTTAAGGCATATTTGAGCAGATGGATGGCCGCCACTACAAAATGGGCACCCTGGACTTTCGATCGAATCAAAACTTTGCTACAGAATTCTGCCGTAGCTGCCGCGAAGCAGTGTACCGGTGGTGATAACCACCGAATGTGCGGGTTAAAGTGGGCGAATAACAGCGGTGTCTGGGATGGTTCGACTGGTGTTGGACAACAAATGGCGGCTATGGAAGTGGTGCTGGCCAACATGATACATGATGCTGAGCTACCGGTTACCAATAGCACTGGTGGAACCAGTGTTGGTAATCCTTCGGCGGGTGGCTCCGATAGTGGACGAGTGGATCCTAACGGGCGGTTTTTCTCTGGCCCGGTATCTGGAGGCGATCGAGCTGGTGCGGCCATCTGTACTCTTGTCGTACTCTTGACTCTCCTAGCCGGAGCGATCTTCATGGTTGTAGATGAAACAAAATCAACAACTGATAACTGGACCAACTTTCGCTCGGGTATCTCTACCGCTTCCGGGCCAGCCGCATTGGCAGCTCTAACACCAGGCAAAAAGAAGAAGGCTATGATAGACGAAAAAGGAAAGGGACTTGGGATGGAAAGAAGTTCAAGTACTGAGACAGGCGAGAAAATCCCGACGGCCTATGCAAATGGCAGGCTACAAAAGCGCCCGGAGAGTTTACAGCAGGCACAGCCTATAAGGCCAATATCAACCTCGGGCGTACTATCTTCAACGACAGACACCGTACCAGCGACAACTACGACTAACGAGAACCGTATGTCAACCGCTGGAATCGGCCAGAGAGGGTCGGTACTTAGGAAACAGAGACAGTGAGACAGGACAATTAATTACACATAGGAATACACAAAGGATTTGCATTAGGACTGGCGTTTGCGGATTTAGCATCTACTACGAGGCTTTATGGACATTTCCACGGGGTTTACAGGGAACCATTCGGTCTATGGATAGGCAAGCATTGGGATGGATTTACATGAGCTATAAGATACCATGAACGTCTACACACTACGTTCTTACGTACCTTTCTATATTTACTATCACTCTATGGTAGAAAGACTTTATAAATGTTTAAACTCGATGTTTTGACTTGCTACATTGGATGATACACGCGAATGGTGTATATATTTAGCTTGCCCCCCTTGATTGAGCTAATATTGTGGTAGCTACCTACCTAAGATTAGTAAGTTGATCTAGACAACTAACCTGTATACAAAGTATGTCTTATGCCCAGTAAGCTTTGATGTTGTATAGACAAAGTACATATAACGTGTACATAATTCATATTTACTTATTGATCTATTATACCTGAAGGATAGTTGTCTGCCCAGATCATTCTGCAGACACTGTGATTATTTGATCAAGATATTTCATTAAGGCGCTAACTGTTGAATATTAGCCCCTTAATGGCTTCGACGAATTGTCTCTATAATATCACATTCAAATAACTACCTGGGGTATTATGGGAAATCCGAGCTTGTTAGTTTTATTCAACCAGCTTTATTTCTAGACATTAAATGCCCAAACCTTACATACAAAGAAATCTTATTCACTCAGGGTTTTGTTTTATAACCACTGCTAGTTTTAGCCACGGGATCTTATTTAAAGATAAGCGAATATAAAAGGCCATAGCAGGAGAACAATACTAAAAGAATCTGAATCTGAAAACGTGTCTCACTTAGGTGTTTGCAAAATGAGCATATTTCGTAGGATGTGATATGCTTCGTGCGTATTGTTCGGTTTTAGGAGCCAACCCGGCGTGGGATTAGCTATCCATAATATCGGAAGACTTGCTATCAAAGCCATATCCATATTTATTAATTTGGATCCCGTCTTGCCGAAGAATCCGCCCAGCCATTCCGTGATATACCAACCCCTGCCTAGCCTAGGAACCGAGGGATTGGTGCTAGCAAACTATCCTAAGGGTACAATTGCCAACGATTTCTTCGAGAATGTAGACATGATTGGTCGAGATATCGTTGAGTAGTTCCTATATTCAGAACTGATTATCTAAGAGCAAACTGCATAACATTAGGGAGTAGTTTAAGGATATGCGGTAGTTAATAATCCAGTCTGAAACAAGATACAGTATTTGATGGCTTAAGATAGCCAAATATACGCGCAATGCAGATGCCGAAACAATCATCATGTTACCATCCACACATTAGCACTATGTGTAGGTAGGTATCTATGACACCATGTTTGGCCTGGTTAAAGGGCATTTTGAATATTCGGCTACTTTGAACAAGGCTGTACAGCATACGGGTTCGTTTACAATATTCTCGATTCACCGGTGTCCGGAGCATCCTAATTATCGCGTCAATAAGGTCTCCTTTCTTAGACGCCTTTGTGTTACGTTCACGAGATTCGTCTCGGGGGTCGAGCTAAGCCCCATACCATATTCTATCATGCTAACACAGACTCCATTAGCGCATCGTGCTCAGTGATTGTTTTAGTCTTTGAGACATCTCGATATATACTTATCTCACCGGGAGAGAACCCTCCAGGAAGAAAGATCCGCAGTATAGAATTACCTTCTTTGGGCAATGGGTGAAGGAGGGGATTGAAGGTATTACCTTCTAGATATGTACTCTTGATCTAGAGCGGAAAGAGGAAGCAATCATAAAACGCGACGGGGGCACAGGAGCTGATACACGAGAGGACGAGAGGACGTTTCCCCTTTATACCTTACACAGGTGCAACTGACAGCGTCGAGGCTGATGAAGCCAGGCCATTCCTAGTAACTGCCGGTTATCCACTCCATCTCTGATGGGCCTGTTATATTGTTAGGCTTAGCGGTATTTGGTTGACAAGGGTGTGACAGCCGTTGAGTGCATGCGTTCTCGGACGGGTAGGCACATTGCCGTTGCCGTTGCAAGGAACCGAGGACGTGGTGCGTCACTTGGAAACAGCAATCGATGTGCTCAAAAGACCAAAAGACGATGAGACGTTTAGGTTTTTGAGTCACTAGAGCACGAGGTATTTCCGTTTTAGGTCATTCGTTGAAATAATAGCCAATAATATCAGGGTCTATCTAGAAACAGGACGGTTAGTGATTTGTTCCTTGGTGAGCAGAGAGGAAGTTTAGGACGAATATGGGATCTTACCTGGTTGGAATATGATTGGGATATGATTGGGATATGGTTGGGACGTCCCTTCGAATAAGAGTGTTGTAAAAGTAGACATAAAGGAGTACGTGCATGTGAGCGTCCTACAATATCAACGTTAGGGACGTTAGGGGCGTGGATAAGAAAGAGTACCTCCTATTCACTTTTCTTACCTAGGTAAGTTTAGGTAAGTTTAGGTAGTCTCGTGGTATAAGTTAATACAAATAAAACTAGAAACGGCATCGAAATCACGGAACGATAACGAAATAAACTTTAGGTATCTTAATTGTTGCGGAAACTGCAGGCAGGAACGACAGGTACAGGTACTGCCGGTATGTACCTGCATACATTTACATGTATGTAGGTATATTTGTTCCCTGAGGTTAATCGCCGGCTCCTTCCTTAAGCACTGCCGTCGCTCTTGCCACTTTTGAGCATATTTCCGAGTCGCGTTTTTTTGTGCGTTTAGATGTTGCCCTCGAAAAGAACCTGCCTTAGGAAATATATTCTCTACAACTCTTTCATCATAAATTTCTAGCAAACCTTTTTACATTGCTAGATAATTTTCTTTTCGTTTTCCTTTTTCTTTTTCCATTTAATTCTCTGGTTATCAGAGAGTTCTTTGGTACACAGTTTCTCAATTTCTCAACTTCTCTAATAGTTACCTACTTGCCTTGACTTCCGCAACTCTGTTACGCGTCAAGTCTCCTCGACAACACCGTCCTTCTTTTCTGTTTGACCGACGTTCAATCTTATCACGTCAAACAGACATCTATCTCGTCCCCCATAGACGGCTTGACTAATAACCTAGTCAGCTTGCCGATCACCTTTCCCAAAACTACTATTGAATTTGTCATCTTCTAATCTGCATCACAATGTCGCCTGTTCCCAACTCTGACGACCATTATGACGCCGGTTCTCCCCTTGATGGCGGAGCCCCGCCTTCTGACCTAGGCAACAGCGGCGTGCATTACCAGCCCACTGGCCTTGAGATCGGCGTCATTACCGGCGTTTGTGGCCTTGTTCTTCTTACTGTCGTAGGAGTCTTCGTCTGGCGAGCCCGCAAGAACCGCTTTGCTAAGGGCGCTAGCGCTCTTCATTCCGGACCTGACACTGTCCATTCGGGCGGTTCTCCTCAGCCTTTCGGCTCTCACTCGGCGATCGAACCTGTTCCTCCCCCTAAGGATTCCCGCTTCGGAGCAGTCAAGAATGAAGAGCCCGCGTCTTTCGACCAGCCCATCCCTCTGCCTCCCAACCGCAACGAGGAGATTCAGTGGAGCCACTGGACTCCCATTCGCCGCGAAGGAAACAGTGGCCATGGTATGTTATAGCTCATGCACTTTCTTTATGTATTCATTCACCTGACAACACATGCTAACTTTTCCTTTAGTCGAGGAACACGAGATAGCATCCCGTTTCTAAGCATCCGTTCATGCGACAACCTAGCCCCGACATCAACAGTCTACATTTGTGATTATGACTTCCGGCAGATGTTCGTTATTTCCCGGTTAATACTTTTCGATGCCGGCACACATGAACGATCATATGACTTCGTTTCCCACGAGGGGGTGGATCTTGGCAGATTTTGGGGTGAGATGGCCTAGTTGTTGCAGGTACAGGAGTTTAGCATCATCAGCATTGCTTTTGTCTACTTAGGTAGCTATGTGTGGCATGGATTGCTCGCAGTTGTCCCATTTATTCGTCCGTTTCAAAGGATCGAAATAAAAGAAAATCGTGGAATGTTTGAGGTGGACACCCAGGAGGAACTTTGCATTAACTTGCGCGTTGTATTACGGCCTAATGAAGATAACAATCGCCAATGCCGTGCGTCGTTATGAACCTAGCTGCTTTATTGCTTGTGATAGAAAGTTATGTTTCCCAGTTTGATTTGATATGACAAGTCTAGCTCCATTACCATAGCAGGTACTTAATTATGCGAGGCATAGCATGCCTACCAAAATAAAAACAAACCTCGTTGCTAGCATACTCCATATGTTCCGGAACCACTATTCTTAACATAATACTGATTGTCCAGTGTTTTTTATTATATGATGTCCCTTCAGTGCTAACCGGTAAACATGAATAACTCGGGTTTTGATTAGAGGTTCGTAGTGAGTATATGACGAGCTTGAACAATGTAGTAAACTACCTAACCTAAGCCTTGTAAATTCAGTAGGGCCATACGCCCTACACAGAGACCGTCAGGATAACGAAGGGTTATTCGTCTTATTCCGAAGACTCATCCATATTGGGGGACTGCCTTATATAATGTAAGTACCCAGACATAGTGAACTCAATATAATCAACCCCTATCTTTGAGGCTCACAAGACTAACCCAAGAGAACTCATAGACGACTTAGATTTGCAACGGATATCATACGGCGCGTAGTTTCTAGGTAAAATTTATATAAATAAAGAACTTAACACACTTATAAATTTTAGCATCATTTTCCATAGTTATCTTTCTTCACCCCTGTCAAGGAAATATATATGTACCTATTGTTCTGAAAGGACGATGGAAACTAAAACATTAGCATTAGCTCTATGGATGGATATATTTATACCTTTAGATTGATTCGTCTCTGATCATGTAGGATGTCGACAAAGCCTTAGCACGGCTCGAGCCAAGTTAGGACCATTTTACTACACTAGCAGCATTTGTATCCCCTCAGCGTAGTTTGATTCCAACCTAGGATTTGAAGAGAAATCTTAACAGTCATATATTATCGATCACTTTCCAACCCGGGTGTAATACTGTAATGATACCTATTCCCCTAACACAAATACGTAATAATATTGTATGCGTACACATACCTAGGCGTAAGCCAGTCCAGTTCAATCTAGCCCAATCTCCCAAAACACCTGCTCTGACCAATATTAAAACCCTTAAACGCCATACATACCGCCTGTCCTCGTGTCTGATTTCACAAGAACCAGACCTAATTAACTCTAACCCAGCCCAACCGATCCGCTCCTGACCGACCATCTGAGTGAAGAGGTGTCCATGAAAATTACCACAAGCAAAAACATAATGCATAAATGAAAGTGCCTAGGCACCAAACTCAACCATACTTAAAGATATCTCACTAATTATTACCAGGGAGATACCTGCTCCGGAAGGTTGCATTGATAAGACTACTTATCGCGCCATGTTGTATCTGGCTCGCAATCACTTCCTCCATCGCAGACTGCGTTACTGAAGTATCTACAAGCTTATTAGTAACTGTTACGTCGAGTCCTAGTAACCCACCTCCCTTTAATATTCGCCACCGCATACCCAACAAGGACAAACATAGAAAGGAAAAAGAAGAAGTTTTTAGCTTATACATACCATCAAGATCACTAAAACTGCTCCCCATACTTGGCGTACCACTATCACTATTCTTCGAGTACCTCGCCCCAGGGCTACGTCCTACAGTTTCTGTCGTCCTTCGCGGCGACAGTGGGACGCCGCCCGCTCCTGTTCGACTACCACTAAGCCCGGACGGGGCCGTGGAGTTCGACGAGTCCGAGGTTTGCGAGCGATGGATACGGGTTGACCCCTTTGCAGCAGCGTGGCGCTTCACGTAATCGCGCGATGGGTTGCCACGGAGTGTGGCGCTGAGGTCGTGCTGCGCGCCGCTGCTGCCATCTGCTTGTGGCTGGTAAGGTAGGAAGGCCGGTTCGCCATCATCATCTTCGTCGTCGTCTTCGTCATCAGCAAAGGAGGAGGGTGCGGCATCGGTGCCTTGAAACCGTGGGGGTCGGCGGATGATTCTGGACTGCGCGGGGCTTGAGGAGGATGAAGAAGTTGCAGACTCGCTGGACTCGGTTGGTCCTGGGGAAGTTGGTTCGGTGTTCTGGTTCTCATTATCGTTCTCGTCATCGACGGATGTCGTGATGGGGAGGGATGAGAGACGGTGGCGCTGGAGATCAACGTTGGACTTTCCAGGAGCTTTGCCACTGCCGACCAGGTTGCGAGCTGCATGGACAGCGGTGTTAGATGAAGACGTGCGCGTCACGGTCGGTCGTGGAGTGCTTCTCATTGGCGTACCGGGGACACTACCATCGTTACGCGGTAGAGGAGAGTCCTTCCTAATCGACAATGCTGATGGTGCTCGAACCGACCTATCACCAGATCCGGTGCGTCGCATAGGTTCTGCGGAGAACATGCCATCAGGTCTGGGCTGAGGCGACGGTACTGAACCCTTAGATGCTGTAGCGGCCCTACGTAACTGCGTTTGGATTTGGGAGGTACGATGATTGCTGAGCCAGGTAATTTGCTGGAGGAGGAAGTCGACTGTAACCCCGAATTGATTTGCGCTTTGAAAATGGGTTGGCAAAATACCGACGTTGGTTGAGGGTGGGAATTAGCACTTACATATCATTCCCTAGTATGTGATTATTAGTTATTTCATGTTGAATCGCCAGTTAGTTGTATAAAATAATTATCACTTACAGTCTATTTCCGTCTTATAAGGACGAGATACGATGCTCCAGAGGACTTCATCTTTAGAAGAATCCCAATTCGTCTAAATATTTCATTTAGCTTCGAACAGCAGGACGAGATGAAATACAATCTATTGAATTACGTACAGGCGGAGGATCGACAAAGTCGCCTCTAGGAAATGGGAGTCGAACGAAAACCGTATAGGTCGGCTCTGGCTGCGTAGGCGCCATTTTGGGTCAAGTCATGCTTAGCTAGTACCTATTTCGCGTGTGAGATCTGCAGCCCTTGAGCAGTGCTAGTTGATGATCAGAAAGAAGAAATATGTAGATGGACGTTGAGAAAGAGCTAAAGAGCTACAGCCGACGTATTAGAGACGGGGGATCTATGCACGGCTATGCACTTATCGGATTAGGACGGGAAGCTTTTATCGATAACGTAGGGCGTACCTTTGCCCGGTCCGTTTTGCTCCGGTACTTAATTACCTACATAGTATATACCTAGGTACATTTACCCCAGACCTAAGGTACATACATCCATGTATCTCCTACCTACCTAAAGATTAAATGACCTAATTATGCAGTTTAATCAACCTTATTTATGAAGAAGATAGTGAAATTAGTGGATGTCAATACATATGAGAGTCAGCTGTCACAATGACCTGCAGTTACCGCAGCTAGCAGAAAAATGATATACTAGTTCCTCCACTCGGATTTGATAAAAATCTCCCCAGTCCCCTCAACATGTCTGGCTATGTCTAAGAACTAAACATATCCGGCTGCCGAATTGCTCAATTAAAACGCCAAGAAGATACCACCCGTGTCTTATCGACGTAAATTGTGGCATATTTTGGCATATTTTGCGGACGGGAGGGTGTAATAATCTCCTTGCGCTACGATGATTGAGTACTCGTGATCTCACCGCCGCAACGCTATTGGCCAATCTACCAAGATCCTTCACATGTCGACTTGCTTATGGTTGCTTCGACAACAAGCTAGCCCTACTGATCAGCGAGGGGTAGCTCAGAGCCTTGCACGCGTTACAACCCTCTTGTCGAATTACGATGGCTATGAAAAGGTGGAATTTCCCAGGCGAGGGCTGAGGTTTGTTCTACGGACCTCTTGATTTGATCTTGGATAACCCTCGCCTGGCCTCTTATCTATTTGTTCAGCGCCTTATTTTCTAAGATCGAATTTCAACCTCCTAGCCAGCTAGCTTTAAGCCTGTTGTGAATTCGATCTAGTTAATTAGGTACGGCTAAGAGGGTACCCACGCTACAAATAGCTTGGGAGACGGTTAGAAATGGAGGCGCGTTACATGATCCACTCTAAGCAAACCGTTACGTAGACAATATACTAACAACATAGGTAATCAGACCATATTGAAGCGTGAGGCTTCGTTTCCGAATTGGACTCAAACCCCCATCCCGGGTTTCACACTTTCGGCATCAGGTCTCCTCGCGCTTGCGGACCTCGGAACCATTGCTAAGCGCACGCAGATCGTAGGAGGCTCGTCGTGGCTTGATGCCTTGCTTCTTGCTCCCGGCCTGCACTATCAGCAGGCCGCCGACGCGCTCGCCGGTAGTACCGAGACGTACAGCGCGGTTGAGTTATATGAGGGCCAGGCATCGACGCACAATATCACCAATACCGCCACCCAACGCTACCTAGAACGTGTGGGTATGGTCGGACAAAGGGTCACCGTGGACGTCGGTATGATGCCCGAGCGTAACTACTACTTCCCAGGCGGTCGGCGGCAGGCTCGTGGCCAACGAGCTACCATTTGGCAGGACCAAGGTGCCGACCTAGGTTGGGTCTCGCACGTATTATACCTCATGAGCCCCGCGCTTACCATAACCGCATTCGTGTTCATGATCCTGCTCCGGGAATGGTGGGGCGTAGCATCCCTCCTTGCACTCATGCTATCCCGCGTCCTTAATATTTGGGTTATCAAGCAGCGGTCGGAGCCTCCCGTAGCCCCACCACCAAAGCCCGACGTCAGCAGCTTGTTGACGGAGTACCTAGTGGACCTAGGGCAAGGCAAATCCGTGTGTCTGCGTGGCGTGGCCGAGGACCTGCAAGCTATCACTACGACATCGTGGCTGCGTGCTAAGACACATCTAGACGGTTACCTCGAGGCGGCTGCTAAGCTAATCGTGTACGTAGTGGCCGCTTTTAGCGGCAACATGACGCAGGTCGGCTCTATTATCTTCATGTTACTCCTGCTCATCACGGCCGGGTTACTAGGATTGAGCAACGCACACGCGAAAACATTCCGCATGCACGGGCGTTTGGCTACGCCTACCGTTGATAGCCTACCTCAAGGCCCTGGTAAGTCTGTTGCTACGCCGTATCCACCTAGCGACTCAGATAGCAAGGGTGGTAGCTTCTTTTGGCCACCTACGACGACGAGGTCGTCGAGCGGGTTCACGGGAATGGATGATTTCGCGGAGAAAGGACAGGTTGGCGGTGTATTGAGGGATAGGTATCCTTTTGACGGTACAACGGATTACAGGTAATGCATAATTGTTTACCCACCCAGGTTGGTTAGGCTACTTGCTGGCATCTTACTATATCGGGGAGCATTATGGAGAAACATATTGTTAAGCATATGATTGGAATAATATCGTTGCGAGGCACGTGGCGAAGCACGTTGTATTTTGAATATGAGCATTGCATAATAGGAGATAGGCTTGCATATTGTAATCTAGCTTCTTTTACCATGTGGGAGACTGTCAGTGGTACTAGCAAGGTGTGCTCTTGATTACATAGTAGTATTGTATATGTCAATTACCTATAATATTGAACTGTTATTTTAATTGCTTTGTGCGACTTTACTGACTTTACTGTGTACAGGCAAAGTAGGGGTATCCCAGGTAAGGTAGTTATCGTCATATAACCAGGGGGTCATTTGTATGTACCTAATGTAAGTATGCACGGGTTGGGGAAATTCTCGTGACACGTTTCACCAACACCTCTGCAGTCTCAAATTGCACTGCCCAAACGAATGATCCGTTACGTGTGATACATAATATAGAGCGCCCTTGCTCTAGCTCTAGCAATGTAGTGTAGTATTTACAGGAGGTTGAAGTAATGGTGACGGAGAGAGATACTTATAATATAATATACACCCCCTTACTCCGTGTTCCGAGGGGCTCAGCCCATCAGGTCTAGGTGTTGTAACTTGTAAGAGCTAGGAACTAGGTACCTAATCAACTAGTAAACAGGTACTAACTAGTAATAGGAGCTAATAGCTAGACGCGTTCTAGCGTGGTTGAACCCTCGTACGTTAAGTACCTGATATAACCTAAGCTTATCAGCTTTAGTGCATGAGTTCGCGTAAGCCACCCCGCAGGGCTCGTCCAGAATGCCGGTATGGCGCTAGGTATGTACTATGTATAATATGTATAATAAGTCTCTATTATACCCTAGAATAGCCCGAAAACACCGAAACTGCTATTGACCGGGGTCGGAATCAATTAATACAGACGACGTTAAAGACGCAATTCCGATCTAAGCCTCATTTCAGGTCCCTCATTTATTACTCTCCGTACGTTCCCGTGAAATACATCAGATATTAAAAGAACGATAATAACAATAGCCTCTAGAACTTGGTATATGTAATAATAATTAATTGATTAATTATCACATAGATGAATTACCGATTCCCTTGGACTTCTTGATATGCATGCACCTAACCTACAAAGACCATATATTCGTCAACTCCACAACTCCAGTCATTGCCCTCCCTTTTCCGACCCTAGTACGCCAGTTAACAGAAGAGAGAGAGAGGTACGGGAATCTATCAATATGCTCCCCCCTGAACTATGTTCTCGTACGAAAAAGAAAAGGCATGTTCCCTGCACGCACTCTATAATATCGTCCCAATACTTCGGATTATTAGGTACTTTTAGCCTCATCCACCTCTGAGGCAAACTTAGACCGAAGATTTCGTCCGTCATCTTAGCCCCCTTCTATGATTAGCAACAGAAACATGGTGGCGCAATATAATACATATAGAGTAGTGGCCTTTTTGCTTAGTGAGATGATACGGCGGACAGTGCAGAAGTATATTAGGTAGATAAATGATAATTGTCCGTTGATAGAGATTAAGACGCTGTTTGCGGTAGTATGGTCTAAGAATATGCGAACCACCAGTATTGAAAAGCCGTCTCTCGTGTCTTTGCTTCGTGGGTATTAATATGTATATTTTTTTCGTGAGTGTCTTTCCTGCATGGTCCATCATATGTGGGTATAGGTATAGTTGATTAATCAAATGGCTCGTGACGCTACAGCCGTATTCATTTGGCTACATGTATCTCTCCTCAGAGAGGCGTACGATCTCGCACAGTGCTCGCATAAAGTCGGGATCTTCTTCCCGCTTCATCTGCCCCGCGCCATCGGAGCCCGCGGAGTTGCCATTCGTCACTCGTAACGTAGCGACAAGCCTTGAGATGCATCTCGCCAGTCCCAACCGTAAATCCTTTAACACTTGCTCGCCCTGATCAGGTTGGGGAAGGCGGCGGCCACTGAAGGAACCTACGGCTGTCGTTGGTCTACTAACTTCATAATAAGAGACTGCTCTAGGTGCTGCTGCAAAGAACGATCGCTTGCTGCGAAGTGTGTTGCATCGTGAAGAAGGCGGTTCGGGGATCGGTGCGTTCGGATCGTCCTGTAGGCCTAGTAAGTTTGCTGCTTTCCGTGGGATTGCGCCTCCGTCCGTAGAGGCGCGTATGTCTACTGAGGAACGGAGGTCAACCGAAAGGCCGAGACTGATTTCCGAAGGCGTTGTTGAGGACTTTGAAGTAGGTCTCGAAGTAGTAGGATTGATTAGCACTGATCGGGGACATAGCGAAGTGATATAGTTGTACGCTACGAGGTGAGCGTAGAGGGCGTCACAGAGGTAATCAGATCCGGAGGGGAAGAGGTTCTGGATTGTGGTCCAGTCCGGTTTCTTAGGCCATACCGGGCTATATCTTGGTTCTAGACTCTCACCAAAACCTATTCGCTGCGGGCTGGTTGGTGCCTCCGTAGGAGATGACTGCTGTCTCTTAAGCGGTAACCACTTCCATTTCGTCTGTTTTGACTGGTCTGATGAGTCTACTGAAACGGGCGATTCCGAATATAGACTTGCGGGACTGGAGGTCTTATATCTCAATTTCCTAGAGTGGCCGCGTATAGTCTCAATCGAGAGGCTGGAACACTGGAGCATCGTTTCCGGGAAGCATGTTATTGATATCCGAAGAGTATCAATGACATCTGGCGGAAGCGGTAGGGGCATGTGTCCATCAGCTCTATTCTGAGCATAGTAGGGAAAGTTGTCAACACTAGACTCCAACCAGGATTCAACATCGATCCCAGCCGCGGCAATTTCTGGATATTCACTACTCTCCGGATGCGAGTATCGTTCAAGTTCATCCCTTTCAATGTCCGCCTCTGGCAGGTGTAAGCTGGTCTTACTGGCATTACGCCCATTGTTAACATCGTCTGTCTTCTTACGAGACGGTCGGAGTGGGGCTAATAAGGGCATATTGCGATCTGGAGATGACGTCTCGTCTTCGCGCTGCGTTGGCAAAGGTTGACTCGATAAAGCCTGCAGAGAGGGTGAGACGTTGATCTTGGGGAGCACAGGGTAATTTCGGTGCATCAGAGAAGAACGCCGCTCTGGGGGTGGAGTAGGACATGCCAAAGGCGATCTAACACGGTTTCGTTGTTCACTAGCACCCGAAGATTTGACACTACTTGGCGACATTTTCGGGGACGCTTTTGGTGATGATTTTGACGATTTTGATGATTTTGACGAGACTTTTGGCGAAGTTGGAGGAGAGCTAGTTAAGTTGGGATGCAACACAGCCGAGTTTAAAGACATACTCCTTGATTCATCTAGGTCATGTCGTAGTGACAGGTACTGAGCAGGTGACGGGATGTTAATCATACTGTATCTTCGATCCGGCGAAGTTGGATCCTCGGCATCTAGGTCCATCCAGCTTTGACCGGCTTGTTTTTTCTTTTGTATCACAAGCTTTAATTTCAATTGATTTGGTGGCTCCAACTTCTCAGACGTAACCGATGTGGCTGTTGTGACGATGGATGCGTCCCGTGTACCGATTGATGGAGGCATCAATCCACCAGATGATTCACTGCTGGCTGAATCGGAATCGCTTCTATTCCGGTGTGACTCGCCGCGGATGGTAAAGAAATGAGATTGCGTCTCATTCACATTCTGTAATGACTTGGCCTTCCACATTGTATCTAGGAGATTAGACGAATTAACAGCGCTTAACGAACTGTCCTGTAGTGAATATCGTCTCTTAGATCCGTCACCAGCTAACGACGGAGCCGGCGCACCAGCAGTCAATTGCCTCGACTTGAAAACATCTTTCGACTCTTCTAAATCCCCAACAAGAAGCTCCGGTAGATTGAAGTCCATGAGGGGTTCAAAGCTCCCCATCGTGACTTTCGTTCGTGCGTCCAAGTTATTCGGTCGGTGGCGTTGCAGGGGGAGTGTAAGCCGGTAATAAAATGCTAGGTTAGGAGTTTCTTTTTATACGAAACAATAAATATTGAAAATAGTTGATTTTCCAACTCCGACTGGATTTAATTCGTGATAGTTGATGTATTATGCTTTGTTAGTAAAGTTGCGAAAGTAAATAGAATTGTTTAAAACGATGTTGAAAACAAATCCTAAGGAGCTGGAAATCAACAAAAACAATCGTGCGAAAAAAGCTCAAGCTGGGTTGGAAATCCACATGGATTTGAAGACCCAGGGAAGAGTTGAGCGGTGGACAGGGGTTGATTTAGTGAAGGATGGAGCTGTGTTCGTACGTAGGTTGGTTTTTCGTAATTCGACAGAGATGAATAAACCATGAACCATGGACCCCGGAAAGGACGAGCCAGGGGTCTTTTTTTTTGAGAAGGCGAAAGGTAACAGAAGGTCGCAGAGGGGGTCGCAGAACCTAAAGGAGAACGGAAACTAATGTGGGACCTGAGCTCATCATCTTAAGTAGTTCGTCTTAAACAATTATCTTAATAATTATTAACAACGATAAAATAACTGAATAAAAGAAAGACAGAAAGAAAAGAAACATTTCCCTATTCTTTTTTCTCACGATATCAATCCCATAATAACTTACACGAACAACTACTCCCTCAAGTTATACCAAATAAAATATAACAAACATTTCATCCCAAGACATTCTTACTTAGGTACGGATTACACATAGTATAACTAGGTGCCGAGGTAGTTGTATATGTAGAAATATATCTAAATCTTTGCTTTTTCTTACACGCTGAAAACTTGAGAGTTTTCAACTTGACCGTCCGATCTTCTCGCCAAGGGATCGCTTTCTAGGGTAGTATTGACCATAATAGCGTCCTAACAGGAACCAATCAGTCAATTTAATTGAGAGGTCCAAAAATCCATTCGCCAAGTTGATACGATGCAACCCTGCTATCGTTTTTGGAAATTATTCACGTTCAACTAACCAATTGATTACTTTGTACGTGACCGCATTGCACCATATTCTTTTTATTCTTCCCTAATGCGGAGGTTTCTCTGACGAGCCATGGGCAGCATGGTTTGCCGACCAGACTTGGACCCTTGACTGGAGAAAGTTGATCATGGCGCAAGATTAACTATTCAATTATCAGATGGAGGAAAAGATTGATCGAAGAAAGCTCCGAGGCCAGAGCAACGCCTGCTCCGTACCCTAGTGTACGTGTACGACGTGTACGTTGTGTTTAACAGGTTTGTGTCTATGTAACAGGTAGCTGATCCGTCAGTAAACTTGGCATCAAGTAGTAATGCTCTAGGTATCTACCTAGGTAAGTAACTGGGTTTATCTTCTCTCAAATGACCACCCCCTGCATCTAGAATAAGAAGTCTATTCGATCGAATGATGATACCCGATCTCGTTGCAGCTGTCAAGCGACACGACAGATGGGCGACCACGTTGCCTGCGAAGCTGCTTCTACCCCATTCGTATGCAGAATGCCTACGGAGGATTGAAGTTCCACCTAGTTCTCGAAGCTGAGAGAAGCCTCGAAGTCGGATTGGTCAGTTATCTTCAGTTACAGGATTTAGTTTGGTTCGTCTTGGCTACCCGCATGTCTACATGTATAAGAGGTAGCCAAGGGATTATCACCTCCGACGAACAAAGCCGTTGTCGAAAATATAAACAAGCGGGAGGATAACGACATGATGAACCATCGGGCAAAAAGATGAAATCGATTGGAGACGATGCACGTATGTAGCCGCTGTTAAAATCCTCCCATTTCTCATGTACGAGACAACATCGTTTTTTAACAGGCTAGCTTATGCAATCACCCATTCGGTCATGCTGCGCGTATCTTGCATGAAGTTGCGGACGAACCAAAGAGGAGAAAATCTGGAATAGGAATATATAATCCGGGTGTTATTTGAAGCCTAGTCGTAATTAGGTAGGTAATAAGATGAAATCATGAATTGCCATCCACAGATTATGTCATTTAAATATCTAAATTATGGAATAGAATAAGATAAGTTTGTTGAACATATGAATGATATGCTCTAGTTAGATTCCAGATTTCAGATTCAGATTCTAGATTTCAAACTTCGATAATAAAATAAGGTACGTACCTTTTTACGCCAAGCTCTGAGGCTAACGCCGCATTGCCGGTCCCACCGACAGCCACAAACGACCTGCATAACGACTGCATGTTAGTGGGGCTATTAACGATGAACCACCACCAATGGAAATTTGTGGGGGAAAAGAGAAAGGAAAAAAAAAATAGCTACACTAACATCATTGAATATCAAACATCAAACAGCATCATAACGTACAACAGCCGGTCATTTGCACAATCTTCCTCGGACAAGTAAAATATCACAGGATCTACATACGTAATTGGACCAATCCTGAAAAAATTAAAATTTATCTGAGGTAGCTAGTTACTTACTTATTAGTAACTAGAGGATATTGTGTTTAGTTCAACCACCATTCCACAATAAATTACAAATCTAAGGTTACTTACTTAAATCATCACGAGTCCAGATGAATAGGGGCCAATGTTGACCGAAACTTACTTCGTGTCCATAGCTGGGCAACCATTATCTAACAACACCACCGTCTCAAAAGATGCCGGGATTTATGAGCATACACTCCACCCCAGCCATTCGACGACAAGTACCTTTAAGAAAAGCTCTGCTCCCCGTCATTGTCTAGCTGTGAGCGATACGCATGTATTTACAGCCCAGGAGGATAAATCAACAGTACACGTCTACTCGAGAGTCAAAGGCAATCAAGAGGCCTTGGTTACTTTTCCAGAGCGCATCCGAAGCATCGCGCTGCAGGACGATGTGCTCTATTTGGGCTCGCAAGAGGGCAGGCTTATCATATGGGAGGTCTGCACCGGTAGGCAAGTAGCTACGTCTGCTTGCCATGTTCAAGCAATTACATGTATCTCTGTTACGCCCTACCACCTTCTCACAGGGTCCGAGGACTCGAATATCAATGTCTGGTCTGTTCCCCGCTTGCTGGAATTAGACTCGACCATCGAACACGAACCTCAAGAGACGCTGTCGAATCACAGAGCCGCTATCACGTCTCTTGCTATCGGCTCAAGCGTAAATCCGGATACCAACATCTGCGTCTCGGCGAGCAAGGATAAGTCTTGTGTCATCTGGAATTACCAGCATGGTGTAGCTCTACGAACATTGCTATTCCCGAGCTCGCCACTTTGTGTATCCCTCGATCCTTGTGCACGAGCTATCTATGTTTCTTCCGATGACGGCTCGCTATATGCAATTGACTTATTTGCCGATAAAGCTCTGCTAGGCCCTCAGAGTATAGAAGACAGCGCTACGGCCGTTCAAGTTTCTTCGGCCTTTGGCGCTACGCCTCAGGAGGCGGGAGCGGCATCGTGCATGGCGTTGAGCTACGATGGTACGACTTTAATAACAGGCCACCCGCAAGGCCAGGTTCTACGATGGGACTTGAGCAGTCGTGCCGACTCCACAGAGTTAACAAATCTCAACGCTTCTGTCACAAATATCGTCTTTGTCTCTCCACTTCCGACCTCGCGGCCTACCAAGCCAGTTGCTGTCGTGAAGCCATTCCTAGGAAGCCGCAGTTACAACTTTACCTCTCGGTTAGATTCTGATATCTCAGAAGATACCAAGTTTAGTAAGATGCTTAAATCTAACGGACTCCCGCATGATGTCTTGGAACAAGCCATCCTCGCCTTCCAGACACCAGCCGAGGATATTGCCGGGGATCAAGAACTGAGGAAGGAAAATGAAGAGTTGCGAGAGATCATTAACGAGCAACGTGCCCTCCAGAAAAAGACCTTGCAGCGATATATCGAAGCTAAATCTGCTGGTTCTTAAAGGGCTAGTTACAATGCTTCTTTTTGATTTCGTTAGCAAGAAAGGTTTGATGGTCAAAGAAGGGATGTGAAGATACAAATAATACCCTTGCTAGTTATCAATCTAGTATTTATTAAGAAATCATTTTGTTCCAATCCACCACCAATTTCAAGCTGGCATATTACAGAGCTTACAGTACCCCAACTTAACTATTATTTATTAGAGCCGAGGGCCATTCTGAGAGATTGTGGGTTAATCATTAAGCTAACAGGGAATGATTCTTTACGCAGTTAAGGAGTCTTGACAGCTCCAGTATACGTGGAGAGATAGATAGTTTACCCAAGGGTGCCGTATGGGGGTACTAGGTTATATTAATTACCTGGTTGGACAAGTTAATGATAGTCAATGTTACTCTGAATCACATGAGTCGGGATAATGTCATAATATTTCAAGCCGCAATATCACGGTGTTGTATCAAAGACGATTATCTCCAACAGCCAGGTTGGCGGTTAACATCAAGATCTCCTATTACTTACCCACATCGGCATATACCACGTGGAGCATTAGTCATAGCAAGAGACTATTGATAATTTAGCGCCAAGCACTAATAGTGTCATGTTACTTTAACATTTATTGAACTAATCTTGGGATAGTGGCTACTACAATCTCATTTTTATTCTCTATTTTCCTAGAAGCGGAGGGTCGAATCGTGGGCCGCATAGCATCGGTGATCTAAGTACATTGTTTACGCCAGTCTACGTCTGTGATTTAGCTTCCATAGTTTCGATAGTTATACATGATACTATTTTATATTAGAAAGTATAGATACGATTTCAGTAACGGATAGATTCGATGAAGAGCATACCTAGAAAGATAAAAAAATAACCAATCTATTAATCTTCGAGGCCACTACTATCTTTCTTTTTCCTGTTATATCGACATTCTAGCTATTTGTGACACGCTGACTATCATCTACACAAGTCCATGTCACACGGCTGATCACTCTCTGCATCCACATATATATGTATATATTAGGTAGGTAGTTAAGAACAACAAGATATAGCATCGTTGGGCATTGATGCTAGACAAGTACTAGACAACATTGTAAGCGAGGGATGTCGTAAATATAGCCCCCCTCCCCATCATGCGTAACCAACATCCCACATATATACCCGCAGCCCAAGACAACAGCCAGTCAGTCAGTCAGCCAGCTAGCTAGCCAGCCTCGTCACATACAGCCGCGCATATGCATATATATATACATATACGCACACGCACACACACACGTATACAGCTAGATCCTGCCGAACCGGGTCAGCGGAGTCCTCGGACGACGAACCACCTATGCCATACCATGCTATGCCATGCCATCTCATCCCTCCGCCAGTCGCGCGGGCACAGTATGCGCAAAAGGAACCAGCACCCCGGTATAACAAGAACAGATTGAGACGGGGGCCGACTTCTCACATTTCAAGCGACGCGCATGTGCCGTTCTGGTACTGTTAAGCCTCACCCGCCCACATTGGTGCTAGTGGACCAAACTTGGCCATGGATTGCATCCCACCCCGCCGCCCAACCTCTTCCGGACGTCTCCCCTTTCCTATTCTGGCCGCTATTTGCTTCTTTTGAGGAAGAAGCGCGCACGAGACGATACGATAGATACTCCACCAGTTGATCTAGTACTGCAGGGCGGGGGCAAAAGAGATATATGTATGTATGTATGTATACATATGTAGTAGCGCATTCCGTAGTTTCGACAGCCGTGGCTCTTACATAGGTGAGCCGAAATAGCCCACCTAGGTGTGATGAGCACGAGTCAGGTGGTCCAAGCGAAGAGATCTACCTTAGACCCTTCCATGTGGAGGCAGAGCCTCGGATGTTACCTCGATCTATTTTCGTACAAGCTCAACCCGTTATACGAGTCGAGATCGTCTAGGGTAGGGTGTATTTTCGAGGGCTTCCTTCCAACAAGTCGGTCAACTGCCGAGCAAAGCGCTCTTAAATCCCCGAATTCGAATCCCTAAGCTACCTAGCTACCTGCATATAAAATCACATGAATAATCACATCACTTCAATCACTTCCCAATTCAAAAGAGGGGTATCGAGTAATTCGGCGACAGAGTGGGTATATATATTCTGGGGCGGAAATGCCTATTTCTCTGCGACGAGTAAGGTAAGTGTAGGTCCTGTAGTATCGTAAATGGATTCTCAAGTATGTAGGTTGCCTGCGCAGTCCGGATCTTCAACAAGAAAACAAAAGACAAGATAAAAGCTCCACATCGAAACCCAAAATGTCCCGAAAGCAGAAAATAAACGGTCGGCATGATAACTCGGGGAGCCTACATATGTATGTAGGCCCCATATCCGAGGTTGGAACGCTATCGTTCGTCTGCTGATCCGTGATGTATGCATACTATGCCCTCCCCATGCAATATAATGAACATGCAAGCCTGCCCATAACCCTGAACGTTCACCCTGGAATGCGAAAGGATCTTCGCCGCGGAAATCGTCGAAGCGAAAACCGATCAAATGTCGGTCCGAAGAAGCGCTGCAAAATAGCGGCAAAATATGAAACTTAGAAGTCCCTCTGGGAAGCTTCAAGCCTAGAGAGCCTCGTCGTTCTCGTTTCAGGTAATCGTCACAAGCGCCTGGATTTCCATAGTGTAGAATATTCGCACCTAAACCAGTAGCTATTCTATAATCCGAAAAGACGTCCTGACGACTAGTAGTCGCACGCCCCGTGAAACTGAATCCTCATGCCGCTTTCACACACATCCCTCATAAGTTCTTGAGTGAAAGCCACTGGAGGAATCATAGAATAACACATTTAGGTCGATGGCTTGAACCTCGCTCCCCGTCTTTCCTCCGTCTTCGTCTTTTATAGTAGGATATGGAGTACGGATCGAACTTGTCATCTTGATCCTCGGCGCAGGGCTCCGCGGCATCATATTTTCGTAGCATTTGTCGACATAGATCGATGAATACCTCGTCAACGTTTGCTTTGAAGTATTAGTCTGGCCATCCTATAATCATGGAGCTTCAAGTATGGGTAGGAATGAATGCATGCGAAAGAACTGTGGGTAAATGCACTTACTCTTCGTCCGAGCACTAGCTTCATAGTATGGCGCACCCCATCTCTCCGAGATTTGGAAGCCTTTGGTGCGTGGCACGGACCGTTGGTCTTCTAGATCGGCTTTGTTTCCACAGATAACAATTGGCACGGTCTCGTCGTCTTTGATACGGATGATCTCATCACGAAGCCCCGCCAGCTCAGTTAATGACGAGCTTGAAGTGATGCTGTAGACTAGTAAAAACCCTTGACCAGTCTTCATGTACAGATCCCGCATAGCAACTGGAGACAAGTTAGCATAATCATAAAAAAATGGTGTACTTAGTAATGTGACCAACCAAACTGTTCAGTGCCTGCAGTATCCAGACTATCTCTAGTTAGTATGTGCCAGAGTGGCAGCAAGAAAATAATGGTGGGTCATGTTTGTAGTTGGCATTGTCTTACATCTCCAGAACTACCTGACGACCCTGGTCCGAATGTGTTAGCAGACGTTTACGCCTAAACCAAGGGGTTAGAGAATGGGTAAAGTTACACTTACATCGACGGCCACCTGGGTTCGATACGAGTCTTCGATGGTTGGGTCATAACTCTCAATCCATTCGTTGTGTACAAATTGAGCTATCATAAAATAAAAAAGCTCATTAGCAATTAGGCGCTTAGCGTAGAGAATGACGCATGAGGCGTAAACAGATCGCGTTTCGTTTCAATTCAAGATGATCCAATCGGAACCGGTTGCAGCTAGGAAGGATGATTACCTGTAAGACAACTCTTCCCGACACCGCCTAGCAGAAGTTAGCGGCGGTTACGCATAAGCAAGGGAAACATAAAAAAAGATTCAACATAGAGTAGACCTAAAAAAAAAGAGGGAAAAAAAAAGCTTGATCATACACCTCAGCTGGGATGAGAGAAGAAGCCAAAGAAAGAAAAAAAAAAAAGCTTACCTGCACCTAACACAACAACGTGAAATTCCCGGCTATTCGCAGAATTAGAACGTTAGTTACTTAGACCATAATGTCATGAATAAACTGAGAATTTCAGGTAATAGAGGGAGACGAACGCAGGTTGATAACGGCCTTGTCTCGGAGGAGGCATGTTTTTTAGATTTTAGCCACAGCTTCAATTTAAGCTCTAAGCTAGCCTCAAGCTCCGGATTTCATGAAAAGCGCATCAGAGGCGCTAAGGTCGGGAATTGATCAGCAGAGCAAAATCCGTCGTTCCGTCAGCCCGTCAGCTCGTGTCTATCACTAAAGCGACAAACAACAAAGCAGCGGCTGGGATGGGTTTAGCTGGTGTGTAGTGGTGAAGGTATCGTCATCCAAGCGGCGGATGGAAATGTTTTATGTATTGCTTCCGGATGTTGGGCTTGTTGGCTTGTTGGCGTGTTGACGGAAGATAAGGTCAAAGCGGATTCAAGCGGATACCTTAAGTCGAGGTATATATGTATGTAGATATGTATGTAGGTAGCCGCTTAAGAAACAATCAGATAAAAAGAGCCGCGTTGGGTGAAGTCGGGGGACGGGGATGACGAAAATAAAAGCGCGGCTGGCCCCTTTCCTTGCTTGGAGCTTTGGAGCTTTGGAGCTTGGAGCGTGGAGCGACGAACCAGGGAAAGGGATCAGACGCAACGATTCTTCGGTACACCCGTGAGAGGATTGTAAAAGGAAAAAAAAAAAAAGATAAACGGGACTAAGTACAGAACAGCAGGTTATTAGGGGGCCAAAAAGAGGGGTATTATTACATGTAGGAGGTAGGTATGTACATGTAAGATGTAAGATGGACAGGTAGAGATGGACTAAAGATGGACCAAATGGTGAAAATGGATGGGAAAAATGCAACAGCATTACACTTAAGCACCTAAGCACATACCGGTACGGTTCAGTCGGTACGGGTTCAAAGTACGTACAGTGATGAAAATATGTAATGCAGCCAGCACACCCCTAGTTGAAGGAAAGAAAAAAAAAATGCAACCCCGGTCCGGCTGGGCTGGGCTGGGTACCTAGATAGGGAGTTTAGTGGAAAGATTGATAAATGGGTAAAAAGATGGATATGGAATTTTGACAAGATGCACATTAATAGGAATAATAAGAGTAATAATAGCTAACTTAAGAAGTCGAGTTTGGTCTTTGCAAGTTGCGAAAGAAAAGGTAAAAAGATTAGAAATTAGAAACTTCCAATGGTAGAAATATATGTTCGGGAAAAGAAGCCAAGCAACTATTATATCTTTTAAGTTTCCCTTCCCTTTCCTTTCGTTGTAGACATATGTAATATCATGTTTTTTAGGTTAGGTACATAACTCTTGCCGATTTCTTGTAGGAGGTAGTGAGGTAGGTTAGGTACCTGTCTAACTTCCTACGAGGTAGATTCCAAGGCTCTTAATGTGTGATGCGTAATTGCCAATGTACCTAAAATAGCGGTACAAAATAGATTTGGCACGGTCGGCCCGCAATTCTTTTTTGTGGTGGGCGCGTTTATTAACGTTGTATCGAGGTGAGCGAGGTTGTTCGGGGCGGCTTAGGCTTCCTTCTAGGCTCTCCTAGGTAAGTGGTTATGTACCAGGTATACAAGTATAGGAGGTTAGGTACATCCATGTATGTAAGTGGTAACGGCGGCAGATGTAGCTTCTATCTACATGTACATGTATCTATCATTTCTGCATGCGCAGGCCTTAGGTACATTACATAGGCGCTGGTGGCGGACCCTACCTACCTCATACATTGCAGCAATTATAGCAAGATGCATTCTATAATAGGTACCTAATGTACTATTGGTATTACATATTACATATTACAACGATTACGACTACCTAACACGCTTCTTACTTACATAGAGGTAAGTACTACCCCGTGGATGGAGTGCATGATAACTGTCGTACAATCCCCACGCCGATCCAATAGCTGACGAACATTCTTTTTAGACCTTTTTAGACTTTTTATTATTATAACTTTTTTTTTTTCGAACCTTTGAATCCTTCCGCCTCTTTTCCTCTCGAGTAACGTAAACCTTCCCTCCCTTGTATTAGTTAAACAATCGAGTCGTAATTCGAGTCCAGGTTGGTCTATTAGCAACGCCGCATCAATAATCTAATATCCCCAATATCCTTCACATCCTACCCGCGTCATACTTTAAGTTCCTCCATCCTGACGCCCCCCCTTTCATATTCTTTTTTATATTTATCTATTCTCCCATGAGCTACCTGAAACTGCCTCATACACTTTACAATTAGTTTGTAAGGTGATTTGTCAGATACTACGTTGCTCATTTTCACTATCGATCTTATGTTTGCGGTGAAGACGATCTCTATGCTAGGGATGAAGTTGTTCTATGCAGAACTCCAGCCCGAAGTTGCAAACGGATTGCCGGACAGTATTGGACAGCGCAGCAGCTAGGAGAGGAACCTAAGCGGGTCAGCCCTGCATAGACAAGCCCGTTGTTTGTGCCGGATGCTAGGTGCATCTCATGCCATTCCTACTTACCCACGGCCTAGCCGTCCGTGCTTGATGGTAGCATGGCAGCATGGCAGCATGGATTGTCCAGTTTCGAAAAATGCCCGGGTGAAGTTGGCAAATCTGGATGGTATTCCCACCAATACCGGAGCATAGTTAATTCAAATGCGGCGAAACCTTGCACAAACTTCTGGTTGGGCTGAAAGATGCAAATCGCATTTGTTAATCGATTATCAACTAGTACATGTCGGTGAAAATATTGGGCAGTTCAGCTGTCTGCCCATCCGAGCGCTTCCGATGCACCAACATTACACCAACTACTTAACCGTAGCGCTTGTATGGTCCGTCCCGCATATTCAAGAACCTAGACGAGGCTCTAAGAGGAACCCTCGGTGCTTCCTTCATCGATTACCCAAAAAAGAAATAGATGATCCCACCTCCACTCTTGCGATGCTCTTATTTCTACCTGCGTTACAAGCCGTCACCTGACAGATACCAGCTGCGCGCTTTGCATCTTATTTCTTCTACCGCCTCGATACTGTGTCGGTAAAGATACGAATACGTGTTCTCAGAAGTCAACTTGGATTCCACCGCCAGTTAAAAATCCAGCTCGAGCAAGCATATCCCAGTTGACACGAATGTCGGAAGTGGTCGACCCAGCTCCCCGGAGTTTTTAACGAGTAGTAAGTAATATACCCCCACCTTACATATAGGTTAGGTACTTTTGATCATGTTGGACTTAAACCTCGAGGCTCCCCCGGCCCATTAATGGTTTTCTTATATGAGCCGTGTCGTATTTCGCCTGGAGTTGTTTTGGTCCAGCTCATGTCGGGTTCGACTTGACCCTTGAAAGGGACCAAACGTTGTATCGAGGCGCCATTGGAGTTCGAGTTACGTCAACTTCCGATGCTCAATATCGAAGCATTGCGCAACCTTTCGTATTTGTCCAAGTATACGCAAAAATGGCCTAAGGTGAGCCAGGGTTTATCTAGCTGTGCTCTTTTTAAAACTTGCTTCCGAGCCGTCGACCGGTTGTGATTCCAATTGAATAGCACATCGGAACGACGCCCGTCATCGTCCCGTACCTGCACCGCTAGTTTCTACCATAGGATGTGACATGCAAGCCATGCTGTTAGAAGTATAGCATGGGAGCTCCGAGGCTTTTCACCTAGGAGAAATCTCGAATGGCTGTTTAAGTGGGTTTATACTACTGCTAGCTAAGGTGGGATGAGGCAAGTATTCTCTACAGCTGGAACCTACGCAGATGCGCGCTGGCTTGTACCGAGACTATCTATGGCATATTGGACTAACTTGATATAGATTGTACGGGGATTTATTTTTAAGCCGCAGATGTCTGGGAGTTGGCTATCTTTACTACCCGCCAACTTGAATACGTCCTACGTGGGGGTGAACCTGTGACGTACGAGAAGCCTCGTTCTCACCTAGATTTGTGTTGATAGGATAACTATTAAGGCCTATCATATAATAAGAATCTAACAAGTCTCTATATCACAGTATGATTGTTCTTTAATTCTGTAGGTATTAATTGAACCTATTATCTGAGTCAATCCCAATAGTATCCTAAAGCACTAAGTCTTTTACTCGCCTACTAAACCCGTCCATCCTGATCTATAGTATTATCCTAACATGTCCTATACGTGAAAAGATCTCCCTTAGCCGAGCTACGCGTATCCTAGTGAGATAATATCGGACCTTCGGACCTAGATATCGATCCAGGGATCAGTGGGATATGGCAAGACTTTGCGAGGACGTTGCTAAGGAAGCTGAACTAGGAATCGGGAGCTTTACGGACGGGTTGACTAAATAGTATGATATGCTGCGGCTTGGGGGCCGAATCTAGGACGACTACCTAGACCTCCCTCGCAAGGGCGTAGGACTCTGCGGCTCTTGTGACACGGTATTGGTCATTAGCCAAGGCTTAGTTAGTATCATTTCGGTCTTATGATCAAGAAATGCGAGATCAGAGTCCAGCCCTTGTTCTCTTATGTACATACATTCTCTCAATACATGGTTTAAAGTGTCGCGTACTAGTGTTCGCGCTTGTTGAAGATCATCACCTGGGACTGAGATCGACGGATTTACAAATGGATCTCGGTAGTTTGACCCCCCGGGTATTTCTCTCCATGTATGTACATGGACTGCGGCTTATAATTTAGATTATAGATCCTATGCTTTCTGTTAGTTCCCTTTTTTCTCGAGTAAACAAATACTTATGGATGACGTTGCCGTTGCCGTCGCCGTTGCACAGAGGGCAATCAACCATATATACCTACTGCTTGCATATTTCCCTAGTCTGAACTCTTATCTAAACCTTTACCCATGATTTAAAATCTTTGAAGATGATTAGAAAATATACGTTGGTAAAAACATTTCAACCGGGCTAGATGGAAGTAGGTAAGGTCCCTTTCCCCTATCAAAACTACCTAACATATGTACCTCCATATATGTCCACATTCTTCTATCACATTTAGCCTTCTGTAACCCTACGTGACTTAGCGCATGATTGAATCACTAGATGAGCAGCTATTTCTGACCTTCACCTTAGCTTACCAGTAGGTTAGATATTTCATTAAAAAGGTAGCATGAATAATAAGTAGGCATTTTCGCAATTCGTATCGGAGGAAAGAAGCCGAAAATATCTACAAACAACTAGATAGGGCAGATAGTTAACGGAGAGTCTTCCGGTGTTTCCTACTACTTTTACTTTTCCCCACTGATCCATCTGTGCCTTGTAGGGACCCTACACGCAGAAATACGAACAGCTTATTATGTGGACAATATACTACTAGCCCTTAGTTCCTGTTTAAGGTCGCAGTCGAATCGCTTAGCGCGTCTTCTAGGGAACCCGATGGGCTAGTTTGGATTACTAGGATAACTACGGCAATATACAACGTGGAAAGGTTGTATCTTTCAGGGGTCGCGGGATCGGGATGAGACCAACGGACGGTAAGGAATGACTTCAAAACCCATCCTCTACAACCCCAGACGAAGAAAGGGCAGGGGTGGCAGCAAGATGCGACATTGACATCGTCTCAACCTAACCTCCTCCTTTCCTTTCGACAAGGGGGGAAAACCTGATATATATCCTGCACGAGAAGGCTGTCGAGCGATGACGAAAAGGCATGTTGATGGCCTGACAGAATGGGACGACGCTCATACTTCAATGGCTTACCTATTAGGCATTTACGAGAACATTGGGTCTCAGAACTACGCTACCCAACTACTCGGTGAGATAGCAAGATAAGAAAATATCCATCCAGTCTTCAATATTACTCCAGAGCAATATATGGCTTTCCGGCAAATCTCAGGGTTCAATAGATGGCTTAGCTATAGCAAGGATCTGATAGACAGTTTCGAGAATAATATTAGACTAGGTAGTAGAAGTAAGGAAATAGAAAGTAGACCGTTTAATCTATTTGGCGTATTCGGATTTTTACTTGCTGCGACAACCGGAGCCACAACAGCATGGATAAATACGAAATTATTATCGCGAAGGTTCGGGGCCAAGAACATCGGGACTCAACAAGACGCGTTTAAATCAACTACCTTATACATAATTACCTACCTCTCCTATACCCCGGATACGTCCCATCTTCACGCGAACACGGCCCCGCGGCCGGCTATATACACGTGGCGTTCCGTCCCGTGTCATATGTGGACATTACGATTATTATAAAGAGTTCCGCGGCAATCTACTTTGATGGCACTCTAGGACTAGATTCTGTGCTTATAAAGCAACGAACACGAACTGGTAAAGATACCTACAAATAAAAGACTTCATGGACAGCAACCAAGTAGCTACCCTTTAAGCAAGCCATTAATACTCTACAAGCAACAACGCCGGGGTTAAATTACCGAATTGCCCATCCATCTATGCACACTTAACCTATCATCTATCATACGTACACGCTATTTGTTACCCAACCCCGACCCGCACTTGGACGCTCGCTCCAGACTACGGACAGATTGGTATAATACGACGGCCGACCACTCCCGTCCCGGACCCGCTACACATTAAGCCGTAGCTAAGAGAACATCTAGGTTAGGTGATTTTACACGGTTAAGAATGTGCGATATATATGACAGACGATCCAGGGATGCAAGAGGGAAAAAAGGAAAAAGCAACTAGAAGAAAATGTAAAATATAAAAGTAAATAAGATATGATAGATGCTTCCTTTCTGATATGGATGTGAATCGAGGTGACCGTCTAAAAATCGCTAGCTATATTACGACGACAGAGGAAAATAGAAGAAGAGAAGCGGCTAAAGGAAAAATATGGTTATCCGCCCCCCTAGCTTGCCCGGAAACATGATGACGCCCGACGCGGCTTGTTTGGTTCTATCGACTAGAACTCGTAAAGCGAGAGGCAAGAAAATGATGAACGACGGCAACAAAAGGTATAATGGGAAAGTCCAACAAACAACCCCCGCAAGATTAACCCAATCTTTCCATATGTCTTGCTTCATTTTGCTGGACTCGTCCCCCCCCTTTCCATGCCTTATATGCCATATACCAGGTTTCCAGATCCGTCCATGCCTATTCTGCAAAGATATAGAAACCCATGCCCCCAAGTACTCCGTCGCTTTTGCCCCCGCTCATTGCATGTACTTCCAAGAATAACCGAAGAGAACCCCTCTCTTGTAAGATGATGATGCGCCGATCGAAGGTGGGAGAACGCAGGCTATGCTAATATAAGTCAGGGAATGCTGATATTCGAGAGGTCGTTTCTTTGCCCCCCGATATCAAATATCGGCCTCTCCTCAGATGCTGGATGCTTTGTGACACCGGTTGTCTGCCGACCACGTAAACCTAATACCAGCCCGCCTGAGCTCCAAAATAATGAAGGATCCAAGTGTATATGCTCCTCGCTCCGTCTGACACCAGTCCCAACCCTTTTTTTTTGGCCCAATAATTTTGACAATGCCGCGCGTAGATGAATGGTATCGCCTTTTAAGTTTTGGTTTGGATATGGATGGGCGTGCCAGATAAATCGTCTTTTTTTCTTTTCACCATGCTTCAAATATTGAACAGAGACCGATAAATAATACAACCGATTCACCCTTCCATTCCAGATGTAATCCATCAAGGATGAGTTCGGCCAACGCGATAAACCCATAAATGAAAGCCTGGATCAAATCCATAGCTAAGATCGTCCAAGACCGTTCAAATTCGGATAGGGGGCGCGATAACGCAGAGGGGCGACCGCTATAAGTAAGAAACACAATGCTAATGACCCGCTCAACATAAATGAAACAAACACCGGAACATGCCTCCTATGACCAAGTCTTAAGTAAAACACCGATATGACTCTAAACTCCCAGGCTACCGGTAACCACGCGGTGGTTTGCCGAGGGGAATCATATTAATGAAAAAGAAAAAGAAAAAAAGTCGACGCCGACGCTTGAAACCATGCATAACCACCATCCCCATTTGCAAATGCAAATACATATGCAGCCATTAGCCAAACAACCTCTAAGGTCGAGGATCTCGAATCCACCACATATTAACCGAGCAAAATTTCGTGTAGAGTCGAAATACCGTTCACTCGGAACTTCCGTTTCGAATGCCTTCCTAAACGCCAATAGTCGATTCTCGAAACACATTAGACATGTATCCATAATAGATTCGGTGGGTAGAGGTTAATCATTTATCGCCCCATCATATAAGGTGGGAATGTCGATGGGGTTCCGTTGACCGCAGAAGAACCACCACCAGCCGACAGCGGTCCGCTATATAGTGAGCTATTCCACACATTGCCGTTTGTATTAGGGAAGGTTGCCGAAGAATACGGCGTGCTCGTGCTACTAGGGGTCGTTGATCCGCCATTGTAAGCAGTGCGGTTTAGGCCAGGAGGGGCCGCAAGACCCGGCGGAGGACCATTAGCACTGGTAAAGCCGTTTCCGGGACCCGTCATCATCCCGTTCATACCCGCTAAAGAACTAGGACTATTCTGCCCTGGGGACTGACCAGAACGTACCCCTAAGGGATTCTTGGAGAAGCTAAGACGAATCCCTCCTTTGATGCTATTATGGAGTGGTGTACCGTACAATTCGTGTAGAGCCTTGGTGGCAAACGATACATCTTCAAATTCAACAAAGCACATCGGGCCGTTCTGCTTAGTCCGGAAACAAAGACGCTTGTAGCCCCGTTGCTTAGAGAACATAGCTTTAAGTTCTTCCTCAGATGTATCAATCGGAAGATTACCAACATAGAGTGTATTGCATGGTGGGTTCTGGTCAGCAGGATTCACAGGCGGAAAGTTGCTGTGGCGCTGGTAGTGCTGATTACCCATCTGATAGTTCATTGAGTGACTCGCACTATTCATGACTGTTGGAGACATAGTATTGCCGTGCGCGGACAAAGGAGTCATGTTCGGATGACCATATTGCGATAGAGACGTCGGGCCACTTGTTGCCGTATTCAGAGATAAGTTAGCCATGCGACCAATAGGTAGTTGCGGTGCCGTAGCTCTTCGTTGCTGCGTTGCACCATTCTCAGCATAAGCAACCGGATCTTTCAGGAGCTCGCGCGTCTCGTCGTCCTCTGCAACATCGTGATTAATAAGAGTCTTGCCTGAGATGCGCGTGCGTTCTGTAAGGTGATTACCGATTGGCGACTGCGGCGAGAAGAGGCTTTGGTAATGCGCACTGGACTCAGGGTTCGGTAATTCGTTGCCCCCGTATATACCATTCATGGGTGGTGATATGTTATCCATAGACTGAAACGGACCGTTAAATCTGGATGACTGACGCGAGGCTTGGCCGGAAGATGTCGTCGAGGAGGGGGCGCTAGATGGGGCAGAGATCGCACCATCAATCGGGTATCTTCTAGATGCGGTAGGACTACCTGACACAATCTCGACAATTAAATCGACGTCGTTCGAGCTTATAGACTTGCCGTGTAGCATATCCTTAGCCTGCTGTGCTCCAGTAGGCGTCTTAAATCTCACAATCGCAGACCGAAAACCTAGATCTTCTGATTGCTCTGCGGGAAGCATTTCGATGTCAACTAACTCCTGCGAGAAGAGAAGCATCAAGCTGAGCTTTTCTTCGGTGGTACCGGCTGGCAAGCGGCGAATCAATATGGACGAGACAGGAGAGGAAGTTGCGCCGAACGGCATGCCGACGGATTTAGTAGTCGCATCGCGTTCGAAATGGTGAATAGCACCGATAGATAGCGGATATGGCGACTGAGTGGACGCGGCTGTGGATCTAAAGGATTGCGATTGCGAATGAGGGAGAAAGCCGGACGCGGCCATGACGGTCTTAGTGAGGGTAGCCGTGGTCGTAGTTGGAGGAAACGGACTCGCGCGGCTCGACGACAAAGGAGAGAAGGTGGGTTTGATAGACGTATTTGGAACTACACTTGAGGTACTTGGATCCACGTTCATGCTAAGAGATGCATGCAATTAGGCCGCCCTACGAGAGGTGCCTGGATTTCTGGGGCACTATGATAATACACGGTTGAGGATTTGGATGACGATCGCGCTGATCGTAGGACAACAGGATAAGTGTCGCGGGATCGCGGCGGCGGGCTTTTATTCCCCTTGCTTTGGCGCGATACGATGGGTTGGTGTTAGCAAGCAAATTGTGGGTGCGCCCGCAGGCTGCGGCACGCGGGATGGAAGAGGCGAAAGATTTAAGTAAGGCGTGTAATTATTAGTTGACGCGATTGAAAGGATACTGGATATTGATCTGACTGAATTGTCCAATCTCGAAGTGGCGATGACACGGCCGCGAAAAATGGAGATGAGTGACGATGTCCTGGGAAGAGGCGACGCGATAAAAGAGGCAGTACGGAGGAATGCAGGTTGTGGGTTGCAGGTCGCCACGAAGACACATGAAAATAAGATAAACTAGGAAAAAAAGGATGCGCGTCTTTTGGTTGGGTAGGTAGGGTAAGGCAAGGCAGTGTGTGAAGGTAAGCTTGGTAGATAGAGAAGTATTTGGGAATAATAATAATGAGTTTGGGGGTTTGGAGAAAGAGACGTCCGAGTGCAGGTTGTGGTGGGATGGGGGGGGCGTGGGAAAAAAAAGGACCTTTCAATCTCTTTGGCTTTGTGCTGTCGTACAGTAGTTTAGATGGCCTGTCTTTACAGGGGTGGTAGAGGGAAAAGGGAAAAAAATAAAAGAGGGTTAGAGGATTGAAAAAAGGGCTGTTCCTGATCTGGCCAGTGATGAGTGGATTGGGGTGGATGGACAAGGATAAGATGGTGTCTGGCCCTTGGAGATTTCTCGATGGGAAAGGGAAAGAAAAGGTTGACTGATCACTTTCAAGCCTGTAAGTGGTTAATCGCTCCTCCCGGCTTCTGTTTGGGAGCTACCCCTCTAGTACTTGTACTTCTCCCTCGGACCACGATACCCGTGCATATGTACTATAAGAAGAGTATCGCCGGTATCTGTACCTGAGCACTATAACTTTATAAGGCCCACTTTATTGAGCTTTCTTTAAGGGCTAGATTTTAAGGCCGCTCATTCTTGAAAACGTCAAAACAAGTAAGATAAACGGACTACCTAAGTTAGCTTAACAAATAAAGGAGAAAAGATACCTCTTATGTGGTTTTAAGGATGCGCTCTTCATCCTTCTCTAAGCTCTAAGCTCGAACCAAAATAATAGTTAATGTTAGGAAGTCACAAAAGAAGAAAAAAGCCGTTTTGGTCCTCGCACATAATTATCACTGGATCCAGGACCAGATAAACAGCAACCCAGACCCAGACCCAGACCCTCCACTCCCTCCACTATGGAACTCGGGACAAGTGCACGCTAGAGCCTACATGTAGCTGCTGGTCCCGAAGCATAGCTGCAGCGTATACGCCGATACGCCGCTAAAAGCAGCTAATTGCCGGGGGTAGACGAAATTGTGGGTGTGGCAGTGTCTTTGCAGCTCGAGAACTGCAAGTACCTAGTTCAGGCAACCAGGGGAGGGAGCAGTAGAAAAAAGATGGGATTGCGGGAAACGACCGGGGGGCTTTTAGCTTTTCTACATACCTACCTAGGTACCTAATGTACATGTAATAAATTGATGACAGGCACCATGATACCTTATATACCTAGGTACTACTACCTCTTATGTACGTACGTATTGTACTGTACCTAATTATTATAATTCCTTGTCCTTGTTTGCTCCCCACATGCTCCCATCCATTCCCATTCGCTGGGATTCAACTAAGAAACATGGGACGGGTGCGTTTTATGTGATTTAACGTTGACTAGCGCAAGATGCAATGCAAAAGGCGAGAGAGGTGTGAAGTAGTGAGGGAACCTTTCAACCATAAAGGACATAGTATGATCGAGATGTTACCGGTAAACATAAGTAGGTCTAAGGTCTAGAATATGAGGATATTGAATAGGATCTCGGCACGAATATTAGTAATCCTCAATCTTGATAAAGGACAGCCTTGGAGAGTTCGAGATAAGATCCAGTCTGGAAGTTGGAGCAAACATATATCATGTAGGCAGTCTGTCTCGAAAAGTAATGGCGCGGTCTTGGCATTTAACCCTTCTTAAAGAATCACCAGTTATATAAGCAAAATAAATAGTAATAAAATTATAATATATATCGTTTTATTTGCAAAAAGCCATTATACCTTTTTATCATTTTAGTTTTTTTATTGGGATAATAATGCGCTAAAAATATAGCTTTAAACATATATTTTTAATAACGTTTTAATATACCATATTAATATACTTATAATTCCACCATTTCTACAGCAATAAAATTATAAAAAATACCTATAATAACAATAAAAGCCAAAAAGTCAATAGGTATTTTTTTCTATTTTTTATTATCTTCTTTTATGCTTTTCTTTACATATATTATATGGTGTTGAATTTGGAGGGAAATGCCAAGACTGCGCCATTACTTTTCGAGACAGGCTGGTAGGATCATGTAGGCATCCTATTGTAATAAATTGTTATTGAAGTTGGGACATATCGGCCCGTGAGAGTTGAAGCTCGGGATATTACTAATTTATTAACACAATAATGTTAAAAGACTCGTCTAGAAATATAGAAATACCAGACGATCACGTACGACCAACATATATATATGTACTAATGGGCATATGGCTGCGTAGTAGGTAGCTTTTCATCAGGTAGTGACGTGGGATGATATGGTGGCAGAACTTCACAGGTAGGTTCAATAGTAACTATGTTACTGTAACCATCGTCGTACAACTAATAAAGAATTATGGAAAACGTGCTTGGATTATTTCAAAGCTGTATAGGCGAATGAAAGTTATTCTAGGCTGGAAATTGTCTAGACCTTTTCATTTTCAACATGTAATAAGCCTTGCTACCTTTACGACCCACACAGAAGGAACCCCCTCTTCATGGCCCTTTTCTCGTACCATGATGCGCAGGACTATCGTACCAATCAGAGCACAAGTGTGTAAAGTGACCGGTGTGATGGATCAAGACTAGGGGGGGTGATACCGAGGTCAAGATAATTTGAGACATCTAAGCTTGCTACAGTACCGAAGATTTCCTTTTCGAGGACCAAGATCTGTTAGAGCTGCTTGAAAAGATCCACGACATGGTTTTATAAATTGATGAGACTACGATTAAATCTTAAGACATACCCAAAACGTGATGGTGTAAAACTGCGGTAGTTGGTGCGGAATTTAAACATTAAGTACCTACCTACACTAGGTACCTAACTCATTGAGTATAGCCGTAAGGCTAATAATGAACTACTTAGACATTTCACTCACAATTTATCTTTTGCGACACTTTGATATATTGCGTCTTGATATAATCTAACCTGTTATTATAACAATAGTTATAATAAAAAATAGCCATATTCAAGTATTTACACTATTGACACCTTAATGTTTTTATCCGCAATTGGCTACGTAATGAAGCACGTTTGTTCTAAACAAAAATGCAGTTAAATGTTTTCGACCCGCGGGTAAGGTACTAGGTGATCCGGGATCGAGGACTCGGGTTGCAACTCCGAACTTTAAGTAGGACAAGGGGAGATTTTAAATCTGGTAATACTTGGTGCCTTGAAGTCTGTAAGTCCTAATATCAAGCCGGTTAGAGAAGGCATTATTTGAAGATTTAACAAAGCGTAACTGTATAGGTACCTATGTACCACGTAAACAAATCAATATTAAGTAGTGTTTTATTGATCGAAGAAAATATAGCTATTTCTTTATCAGATTTAATACATCTACAGACCGACCGGTGAGGATCAGGCAGCAAGGCATCCATCGAAAAGGAGGGTTCGTACGGGGGGGGGACGGCGTAAGAGGAAGTTAATGATTGCAGTGATTGGTAAGGATGTCAAGGGACAAGCGACATAACGCCAAGCCATACAAATAGCTGAAGGTAGCCCGATGCTACGTAAACCTCCCCTACCTACTTATCCCCACTTATCTTTCTTTTAGGCTCACTTTTGACAAGCCTTGGCTTTTTCGAAAGACCTTTAAGGTGGGCCATTGGGGGGGGACCCATCTACCAGTCTACCAGTCTACCAGTATATAGGTAAAATTACCTTATTTAGTCACCCACGTGTACAACAAGACCATAACTGCTGAGAATAGTACTGCATTACCAGATCAAACGGCATACCTAGCAATCGGGCGAAGTTGGAGTCATCCCCAATGATGTAGATCATGGATTATAGAAGGTTTCGCTTTGAAAGAAGAGGAAGTTTATGCCGGCCGACTCTCGCGCAAACTCTCCAAGAACGCGCGGTCAGTTCCAAGATCATCTAGACTCTTTGTTCATGCCCAATCTTTAAATGCGTCGCCGGGTCAAACTTTAAAACGGCCAAGACAAGAAAAATATCTTTGTGTTAATACGAGCCGGTCAAGTAAAGGGAACAAGCGGGCACTTTCAGTAACGTAATGTACTGTTTGCCATTTTAAAGGATACCGTTTAATAGCGGACTTTACCCGTAATCATGATAAACATTTTCTCTTATGGTAAAAAGTGTCATGTTTTAAGTATTGGCTTTATATATAACTATACCTAACTACCTAAGGTATATAATATTGAAATAATAAATCTTGTTTAACTTTACTTAATTATTTTTAACTCTATACTTCTCCAAACTATTTACCTACGTCGATCCTCTTTATCGTAGCTATTACATAGTCGACTTATAAGCAATCGACACAACTCATGTACTTTAATTCCTATCAGTGGAGAGCGCTCGAGGCCTCGACATGCTTTAGGTCCATCTAACGCTACTGGATACCATATACACTAGCTATTGCCGGGATCCTAGGTTAAACGGTTCCAACTCAGCCT